GTAAACGTCCCACCCAACACTGCTTAACTGCCTGCTGCATATGTGTGGTAGTTTTGTCATTCAATTAAAAATAGTTCTACTTTCCCCTGTTTGGGTTTTGACCCATCAATTGAAATGCGTTGTTTAATTTCCAGGTATTTGGAGTTTGTGTGAAATCTTACGGGTATATTGATTTCTAACTTAAGTCTGTCGCGATCAGAGAATACATTCGATATGATTTTGAACTCTTTACATTGATTGAGACTTGTTTGAAAGCTCACACAGTGGTGTGGTCTGCCTTGTATTGTGTATTGTCGTGCACAATACAAGTCGTGCACTTGAAGACTATGTGTATCCTATCGTCGTTGGGTGGGTCGTCCTACAAATGTCGACTCCATCAAGTTAGTTGGTACCCACCCGTCCCTTCTTCCATGTCTTTTCCGGATTTTTCTCTAGTTTTTCTATCACTGCTGAGAGAGGCTGTTAATCGCTCCTATGGTGACTGGGAAATTGTCTCTTTTCCCCTTTAATTCTGTCCATTTTAGCTTCATGTATTTTGAGGCTCTGTTAGATGGATACACATTTGTGGTTATGTCCACATGAATTGGTCCTTTTCTCATGATGAAATGTCTCTGTTTATCTCTAGTAATGATCTTTGTTGTGAAGTCTATTTTACCTGATATTCCAATGCTGGATGATATGTTGATTGTATCTCAATAAAACTGGGAAATAAAATAGCCATACTAGCCTTCTTATGCTTACTGTCTCTATGGCATATCTTTTTTCTTCATTCACTTCTTTTCAACTTATTTATGTCCTTATGTTTAAAGTGGTCTTTCGTAGGCAACATTTAATAGGATTTTATTTTCTTATCCACTCTCTCTCTCCTTCTCTCTGAGTGCCCCACACACCAATGATAGGCCGTGTAAGGACAGAAGAAGGCAGCCATCTGCAAACAAGGGAGATGGCCCTTACCAAGAACCGGATCGTGCTGGCACCCTGACCCTGGACTTTGGGCTCCAGAGCTGTGAGAAATAAATGCTTGCCGGCCAGACACCACCCCGACTCCACCCGGGTCTCTGGTATTTTGCTTTAGCAGTCTGAGCTGACCAAGACAACAGGAAAGGTCAGGGCTGAAAACTCAGATTGGGGTCATCGGAGGCATGTAGGGAGCAGGCACAGATGGAGAAGGAGACAGATTCTGGTCCCCTCCAGTATTTAGAGGTGAGGCGGACAAAGAGTTGGAGAAGTGGTGGTGGCAGGAGGGAAACCAGGAGGGTGTGCTGTCCTGGAAGCCAGGGGAAGAGGGGATTCAAGAAAGGAGCAGCGTGGCCTGCTGGGTCAGAGCAGCTCAAGATGAGGAAGAGGAGGTGCTAGAGGTCGCCAAGGTAGCTGCTGGGTTTGGAGCAGGAAGACCTTTACTGTTCTTGTTAAGGTCAGGGTCTTTGGTGTCTGGTGTGGACAACCACAGAAAACTCTGGGCAAGTTTTGCAGACATGGTAGAATAGGGAAGTGGGATGGTAAGCAGAGGGCAATGGGAGTATTATAAAAGATCTAAGATCTGTGAAAAGACAGAAAAAATAACAAAGATCCACCATGTGCCCACATCCCTACTACGGAGATAGAACCATCCTATGCCGTCCAACGCCTCAGTGTACCCTTCAAGAGAGAATCCTCAGCACCACTGGAGGCACCCATGGATCTGAATTCAGTTTTTGCTATTATTTCCTTTTCCTTTAGCGTTTACATAGGAACCAGTCCGTCAGCAACACATTGTTTTGCATATTACTAAATGTTATCAAATGGGATATTTCAGATTTTCTTTACAGACTGTAGTTGTGAGCACCTTTCGGTTTGATTCTATTCAAAAAATGACCTCTAGGCATGTGCCCGCGCAAGGCTTAATATGGGACTCCGAAGAGCTTGAAAGTGACCGCTGCCCTAGGGGGTCCCCTGCCTCCCAAGGGACTGTGCAGTTGCGTCCCCAACAGAGTCCCCAGCAGGGAAGAGCCCCCTGGCGGGGGTGGGGAAGGAGGTGGGACGGTGAGCCAATCCCGGACCGCCCTCCGGCCCTGCCGCCCAGCATCCGTGTCTGATGGGGGAGGCAGGTGCGCCCCCCAAAGCTCCCACCGCAGCGTACCCCTTCCATCCCAACCCGGGCATGGCAGGCGCAGACCCGGTCGGAGCGCCCCGGGGCGGGGCCGGCGCCGCTGACCAGTGAGCGAGCGGGGAAGCGCGGCCGCTCCGCCCCGCGGTGTCCGTCCCCCGCCCCCACACGGGCAGGCTGGGGAGGTGCCCGGACCCCAGACCGGTCCCGCCATCCTCAAGGCACCATGGCCGCTCCCGCTCCGCTGCGCGACTGTCAGGTACGTGGAGGCAGAAGCCGGCCGGCCCCCACGGCCCCGGGATGGCCTGGCGCCCGCGGCGGGGCAAGGACCGACCTGCGCGGGACCCGAGTTCAGCCGGGGAACCGGCCGTGAGGTCCTGGCGTGCGTCCTGGGTGCAGGAAGGGACCAGAGCACCCTCCCGTGGGACCCCCGCCGCGTTTCTCGGCCCCGCGGAGACCCCGGGACCTAAAAAGCATTAGCCCTGGCATGGCACAGCGGGGACGTCTGCTTGCTTGGGACCCGGCAGGGTGGGAAGCCCGAACCCATTTTGCAGATGAGGAAGTTGGAGTTCAGGGGACTTGCCCCCCAGTCATGCAATAGGCAATTGGTGCTGGGGGAGTAGAGGACATTTCCCCTCCCAGGGGAGTCACAGGCCCTGGTAGGACACCAAAGGTAGCCCTAAGGGTTAACAGGTCTGAGTCGTCTGATGAAGCTGAGAGAGGAGAGGAGTTGTTTTGGTGGTTGGCAGATAGCCTTGCCAGCTAGATGGAAACACCACCCTGCCCACCATGAGTGCTAACGCTATACCCCTTTTCTGCCCTCCCAGACCTCCGTTAAGCCTTCTCAGGGACTTCCGAGTACTGTGTGTTTGCTCCCCTGGCAGACACTTCACAGTTGCCCCATACATCCTCTGGAGCCCCATGTGGGGCCAGCCAAGGGTCTGATGGAGGATGTTGCCGGGAGGCACACAGCTACTTAGAGACCCCTGGGATTTACATCAGGCTTTCCCACCCAGGGCTCAGCTTCATGTGCTCTGCACCGATCTATGAAATCTGAGAGCCATGCCCTCAAGGCTGGGGCTTATGGAAACCCAAACCGGGTGATAATCTGCATTTGGAGATCTTCCAGGCTTGGGGGTTGGGGTTTATGTTTACATTTGGAGGATTACATGAATCTTCTTTTCTCACTGTGTGTAGGCCTGGAAGGATGCAGGGCTCCCACTCTCAACCACAAGCAATGAGGCCTGCAAGCTGTTCGATGCTACCCTGACCCAGGTACGCCTACCGAGCAATGTGGTGGTCTCTGATCTGAAGGCCGATGGTGTGGTGTTTAAAATTATTGAAGGCTTTTAGGTAATATATTTTTCATGTTTAAATGTTCCGGCCTATCCAGCAGCTACATTTATTTATGCCACAAAATAAACAGTACTTACGCAAGCATGCAGCTGTGCTCCGAACTCCCATCTAACACAGCTGGCTTCCATTTCTAGCCAGACGCATGTATCATCTGACGTACTTTCCATGCAAAGTTGCTGAATGATGACCACAAGCAGGCACGATACTTGAAGCTTCTAAAGCCTTACACCTTTATCAGCACTCCGGTTTTATAAGCAGTGAAGCCCATCAGCCCTGTGGCTACCAAATCTCCTGGTCGACTTGGGTACAGTAGGGCATCTTGGGGACACAAACATGCTTCATCATGTTTTGAAGCCCCACAGCCAACAGCTTGGAAAGTGGTGGATGCTGTTTTCAATTTCACGATGAATTTAGCAACCGGTTACAGTGGGATTTATGTAACTCTGGGCCCTGGTGTTGGAAGCATTTTTGCCAACCCATGGCACAGCTGCGAGGCGCCCCCAGTGGCCGGCCGACAGCCATGGGATGTTTATGAGGATGCTGACCCTCCTCCCTAGGCATCCCCTTGTGGCCTGCTGAGGGTTTGATATGGGCCCCCTCCACTGCGGGCCTGAGGCCCTGTGCTGGAGCTAATCTTTGAATATATTGCTCTCACCTTGGCTGTTCCCAGACCCTCCACCATTTACCAATTACTAGCAATTTCTAACACCACTGAAGGAGCCTATAGTTTTAGAACTAGGAGGGTCTCAGAGGTGGAGTCCAACAACTCTGTTTGACAGATGGGGAAACTGAGGCCCAGGGAGCTGAGCTGGCTCATGCACTCGGGTAGAGCAGGAGCAGGATGCACCTGGGTCTGTATATGCCGATGGAAAACCCCAGAGCTGTTCTTTATCATGAGCAATGAGAACGTTGCCTGCTAACTCCATCCACACAACGTAAGGACCAAAAAGGCTTCTAGAAACCTAAGTAGAAGAAACAGCCAGTGAAATTCTGTTAGCTTGCCAAAGGACTCCACCGTGTGCATGTGAGCTCTGTTCGTGCTCTTCCTGCACATTTTGGCCTTGGTAGAGCCCTTGATTTTTTACACAGCCCAGTTCCTCAATGTAGCATGGTCCACCCCCACCCCTGCACGGCCTGTCCCATGGATCAGCGTCTCTGTGCTGCTCTGTGTTAGAGCGTGGGAACTCTGAATCTCTGTACCGCCTCCCCTCTGTCTTAGTAAAACACACTCTGCTAGTTCTGTGTAGATGTAGGTTAGACATCTGATAAGACACATTTTAAAATCCAGTGCATTATTATGGTTTTAGGATTTTTTTTTTAAATGAGCATTTTTATTTATTTTTATTTTATTTATTTTCTATTGTTTAACGCGGGGCCTGAACTCATGACCCTAAGATCAACACCTGAGCTGAGATCAAGGGTCAGATGCTTCACCGACTGAGCTACCCAGGTGTCCCCCAAAATAAGCATTTTTGAAAAAAGGATTAGAAACAGATCTACCAAATTGTCAAAAATGGCAATGGGGTGAGATAAAGTTTGATCATTGGGCTTTCATGTCTCTTCCTAACTTTTTGTCAAAAATGTTTAGCAAAGTTCTTTTTTGGAAGGAATGAATAAAAAGTAGGAAGGTTCCCACTGTGGTGCCTGATTTCAAGGCCCATCTTATGGCTAAAGAAGCCGATGTTCTGGGAAGGTCATCTGTCAGAAAGAAGCTTCCTTTAGATGTTTCTTTTCTGAAAATGGTGACCTGATCGGCTCTAGAAAACGTGCCTTCAGGGGCGCCTGTGTGGTCAGTCATTAAGCATCTGCCTTCAGCTCAGGCCATGATTTCAGGGTCCTGGGATTGAGCCCCGAATCGGGCTCCCTGCTCGGCGGGAGGCCTGCTTCTCCTTCTCCCACGCCCCCTGCTTGTGTTCCCTCTCTCACTGTGTCTCTCTCTGTCAAATAAATAAATAAAATATTAAAAAAAAAAAAAAATGTGCCTTCAGTTATGAGTGTTCAGTCTCTTCACAGGAGACCAACCTAGGTGTGGTCCCTCAGAGTTCAGACTGAAATACTGAATTCTCTAGAGAGAAAATCCAGATTGAGACACACACCTTCCTCAACACAAACTAAGGACTCCCTGGGGACAACTTTGTTTTGCCTTTTCTATTTCAGTATGTAACATGGACCAACGACAAAAATCTTGGTGGCATTGAGGCCTGCCTGTCAAAGCTCAAAGCTGCAGATCCAACCTTTGGTGAGTGATGCTGTCCCTGAGTTGAGCCCCATCTTGTGTGTCCAGCACCTCTCTGGTTCCCTGACTTCGAGACTAGGCTGGTACGGGGAGGGCAGACTGGTGGCAGTGACCGGGCTCGCCTTTGTGTGGAGGGAGGGCCGGAAGACAACAGCTGCTGTTGGGCTTGGAGTAACAGCTGCTTTCATAGAGATGCTGGGTTCCACAGAAGGCATCTTCCTAATTTTTTCCCTCAATTGTTTGTCAATTCTGCATGGAAGACACTGATCTCATTTCTCAGAGGAGGAGAGGGAATGAGAAATGCATCCAAAATCACCCAGCCGGTAGTTGGGTGGCTGGGATCACATAAGGCTTTCTGTATCCTGGACCTGCCTCTGGAACCCAAGAGGTGGCTACCGCAGCCTTTCAGGACACTGGTGAGGCCTTAGCCACGGAGGCCTAGTGACAGGCCGGCGTCACAGAGAAGCCACGGAGGCATAGGGAGGTCAGCCCAGTGCATTCTGGAACCTGCTGAGGACAGGGTGCACAGAATGGGGAAAGAAGGAAGCTGAGCCCAGCCTATAGGGGACCAGGAGCCAGGAGTGCGTTCAGGCGCGCTGAGCAGACCTCAGGCCCCACGATAGAAGCAGGGGCCACATGGGTGGTCCCAAAACTACACTACAGCTGGGTCCTCGGTCTCGGGCCTGGGCCAGTGACAGAGTTCTAAATGCCAGCAGACACCTTACCTCTGTCAGGCTGGGGGCTAGGAAGCTCAAGTAGGGCCTGGGGGTTCCGCAGACCTGCGAGCAAGGTTGCTACAAGGGCCCCAGGCATACCCTCCCATCCCTCCCCCCGACCCGCAAGCTGTCCGTGCAGGAGAGTGGCTCAGACCCGCCGTGCTCCAGAGACCAGCCCCCTGCACTGGCTCATCTGCTGAGCACTTCCCTGGAGTCTCTGTGTGGGTGGTAGTGAGTGTCAGCTGATGAGGGAAATTAGGGGTGGAGGGCCATGGGAGCCCACAGGCAGGCCCTAAACAGTTCACCCAGTGTGGGGGGAAACATGCTCCAGACACTGGCACTCACCACAGGGTCCTTGTTAGAAAAACATTGGCAGAGGTGCAGAATGCTCTGGGGATGCTGCTCCTTCACGTGCATGGTGAGGGTCCCAGCTGAGCCCTGGACTGTCTTGGGGGCCTGGCGCACAGCGCACCAGCCACCTGGCTTGGCCCTCCTGGTGCGGCGGGGGGGGGGGGGGTGGTGTGGGGCATTTATTTCACACTCTGGCTGGGCTGGCCGGGCGGGGCCGTCTGAATCACCAGTTGCTCTCCAACCTTTCACCAGCGCTGGGTCACGCCATCTCGAATGGCCTCGTGCTGATCGGCACTGGGAGCTCTGTGAGGCTGGACTGAGAGCTGGACTTGGCCGTGAAGACTATGGTGGAGGTTTCCCAAACACAGCCCCTGACGCAGCGGGAGCGGCTGCACGTGTCTGCAGTGGAGACCTTTGCCAAGGGGTGAGGGCCTCCCTGGCCGGGGCTGGCACCCTGAGAGCGCGCGGGGCGATGCCACGGGCTGCCCAACACCCTTGGGAAGGGGGACTCGGGGTGCTTCTCGCCCTGCCTCCCAGGACTGTCTCCCTGCCTGCTGCTTTGTCTCCACCTGGCTGCAGGAATGAGGAGACAGGCGGCTAGGATTTCCAATCTAGCATTCAAAGCAACTTACTTTATTTCTTTAACTGAATCAGTTATTATGTTTGTTACAGAAATAATAGGACCACGTTACAGAAATACATAAAAGAAAAGAGAAGAAAGCACTCACCCTCTGCTCGTTGCCCTAACACACCCTCGTGAGCATCTGCTCATAGCCTTCCAGGTTGTCCCCACGGCTGTCCCCCCCGCCGTGTGTGTCGTGGTCCTGGAGTCCCTCTCTGGGACAGCCCCTACATCTGCTCAGGCAGGGGGATCCCCTGCATGGCTAGGTGACCTGAGCGGATGGTGCAGTAACCAAGTTGTGCCTTGTCCTTCCTGCTGGGTCGGTGCCCAGGGTCAGCCTCCCCGACTACAGACTTCACATAGCCGGTTCACCAGCTCAGGGAAATTGCCTTTGGCAACTTGTTAAACCAGTTTTTTGGTTTGTTTGAATTCCAGAGTAAAGCATCCCCCTGGTTTTTCAATTTTCTGAGCCACAACCTAACATAGAAACTTTTGTGTGTGGGTGTGTATAAAATAAGTTCTCTCTCTCCCTCTCTCCCTCCCTCCCTCTCCCCTCCCCTCTTTATATATTATATATATTTCTATTGAACCCGTTCAGACTCTGTCAAGAAGCGAGGCCTTTGGTATGCCTCGTGTGGATGAATTACATGTTCGGTGGCTGAGAAATCTCTCTTTGGCTTTCAGGAACTTTTCCAGAGCCTGTGAACTATGGGAACAGATTCTCTGCGACCACCCAACAGACCTGTTAGCCCTAAAATTTTCCCACGATGCCTATTTTTACCTGGGCTACCAGGAACAGATGCGAGATTCTGTGGCTCGAATTTACCCCTTCTGGACACCCAGCATCCCCCTGAGCAGGTATGTGCCAGTTGGAAATCACATCGTTTCTTTCTTCTTCTCTCTCGTCTGCCCTGAAAACATGGCACCTGTCCTGGCCCTGCCCTAAAAATACTGAGTCTGCTGTGGCTATTCTCCTAGTCCTTGCAAGTGAAAAGAGCTCTCCGTCTGCTCTTCATCTCATCCCATCCTGTGAGTGAGGCGGTACCATGTGTATCGGTCAGCCCAGGGTAGTTTTTGCCACGGTAACAAACATCCTCTACATCTGATTCTTCAAAGGCTCATTTCTCACACATACTACACACCTGTTAAGGGAGGGCTGAGGGCTCTGCACCCCTCTTATTGTCTCCATCTCACATCAGGGACCCAGAGGATCTAGCAGGTCACTGAGGAAGAGAAGAGAGCACCCCTGGGGGACTCACCGTGTGGCAGGACTCAGAGAGGAAGGGACATGCTCTACCACTTCCAAGCCATTGGTTGGAGCTGGTCCCCCACCCTCGGGAGGCCAGGAAGTGCATCTCTGCTCTGTGCTTGGGAGGAGAGGGAGGCCTGGAGTACTGAGCGGCCCTAGTGACCGCTACACAGAATGGCCTCCATCATGTCTAATCACGGGATGGGGGCGCCTGGGTGGCTCAGTCGGTGAAGTGTCCGCCTTTGGCTCAGGCAGGTCATGGTCCCAGGGTCCTGGGATGGAGTCTTGCATCGGGCTCCCTGCTCAGCGGGGAGCCTGCTTCTCCTTCTACCCTCCCCGCTGCTCGTGATCTCTCTCACTCTCTCTCAAGTAAATAAATAAAATCTTTAAAAAAAATCACAGGATGGTTGTGAAGGTCAGACGGACTCATGGATTGGAAAGCTGTGTTAGTCAGGGTGCTTTGTAGAAACAGAACCAAGAGAGTATGAATATCTATGGCTGTATCATTTACAGATATATATGGGGGGAGATTATTGATTTTAAGGAATTGGCTCATGAAGTTACAGGGATTGGCAAGGAAGTCTGAAATCCACAGGCCAGGCCAGCAGTCTGGGGAGTCAGGCAGTGTTTCTGTGTTGCAATCTGGGGGCAGAATTCCTTCTTCTGGGGACCTCACTCCTTTCTCTTACGTCTTCAACGGATTGGATGAGGCCCACCCATATTACGGAGGGTAATGTACTTTACTCAGAGTCTATACATTTAAATGTTCATCGCATCTGAAAAATACCTTCATGAGAGCATCTAGATAGTGTCTGACCGAACAACCGGGTACCACAGCCCAGCCACGTTGGTACGTAAGATTATATCATCACAAAAGCCTAACAGCACTGGGTGAACCATATATGTGTAAGGTTGAAGGTTAAATGACCTCAATAAACATTTAAAAGAAACATTTAAATATTCAAGAGAAATATTTGAAAGAAATAAATATTTGAAAGAAAAGTCTGGAAGCCAGTGTGTTAGGACATGGATTCTATGAATAATGAGAGCTAGACTTTGTCTGTATGCATATGGTAGTAAAGATAACATCTGAGTCACAAATAGGAACTCCATCGCTTTATCGTGTTTTCCCATAATCCCACAAAACCGCAGGAAAGGATGCCTCTTTCAGCCCGGTGCTCCATGCCAGCGAGAAATCGTAGTGTGCATTTATTCAGTGAAGTGTCTTCAGGCTCATCCAGGGCTGGGCCTGGGCTAAGAGGGAGCTGGACAGACGGGGTCCTGGACTCTAGGAGCTGGGGTCTGGGGAGGAACTGTGCAGGGAGTGCAGGTCAGGCTGGGCCGGGGCTGGGCACAGGGCTGCCACACAGAGAAGCCCCCGCCAGCCTGCACTCCCCGGTGCTTCCTAGGGAGGTGTTCTGGGCTGTGCCTCTAGGTGGGTGCCCCCAGCCGGACAGGAGAGAGAGGGCCCCGGCATCCTCAGGGGAGGCCGTGTGTTGATGGGGGTAGGGTGTGAATCACAGAGGGGCCCGCTCTAGAGACAGGGTTTGGGGGTCGGACGATTGTGCCGACGATGAAGGTCACAGTGCTCCTCACCAGCCTGAGCGTCCAGCTGCTAGGAAGCATGGTGCTGGGGTGGTGCCCGGCACAGGGCCACCACCGGCTGGTGAGGGGGAGGGGGTCAGTCTCCCGAACCTGCTGTAACCCTGCTGCAAACCGGGCAGCTTCAAACAATGGATATTCATACTCTCAGAGTTCTGGAGGCCACAAGGCAGAAATGAAGGCATCAGCAGGGCTGTGCTCCCCCCGAGAGCTCTAGGGGAGAACCCTCCCTCACCTCTCCTTAGCTTCCTGGCGGTAGCTGGCAGTCCTTGGCGCTCCTTGGCCTGGAGCTGCACCACCCTAGCGTCTGCCTGTGTTCATGTGGCTCCATCCTGTGTGTGTGTGTGTGTGTGTGTGCGCGCGCGTGCGTGTGTGTCCAAGCCCACCTCCCCTTTCTCTTGTAAGGACACTGGTCATTGGATTGCGGGCCCGCCCTCACCCCGTAGGACTTCATCTGGACTGCATCATCTGCAAACATCCTAATTCCAAATTAGGGCATATGTGCAAGCATCATTTGGGGGGACACAGTTTGTCCGTACCGAGGGTTGAACAGCTCACTTTTCCTGAAGACTTGTTTCCTCTGTTTTCAGCTACGTGAAAGGCATCTATTCTTTTGGATTGATGGAAACCAACTTCTACGATAAGGCAGAGAAGCTGGCCAAAGAGGTGAGAGGGCCCTTGCCCAGGGGCTGACCCCTAGGTAGGGGCGTCGGGTGGGGCCAGAGCCCACGGGCCCCACTGCTCTCCCTGTCCGCAGACACACGGGGAGAACTCGCATTAGCAGCTAAAGCAGCCTCCCCTCCCGCAATCTGCAGGGCTCCCTCCGCAAACTGCCTCCGCGGGCCGGGAAGGTGAATGAGACCCAGGGAGGCTATGTTCACCTCTCCCTCCGGGCCCCACGGGAGGCAGCTCCAGGTTGCCCCAGCTCTGTCTGTCTCAGTCCAGAGCTTCAGGGAGCTGCCCCATGATTGCAACCAAAGGCTGCTTCCGGGAGCGCCCTACCTGGGGGCTGGGCTCCTGCCAGCCAGCCCTTCCCTGGACCTCTGCCTCCTTCCAGAGGGAGGGAACCCCGGTGAAGGGTGCCGCTGAGCAGTGTGGTTTCGCTAAGTGCTTCCTGTCAGCCCAGGGCTGTCCAGCCATGCTCGCCTGGTGGGCTGGCTGGTACGCAGGCGCACGGTGGGCGCCCCTCACCAGGGGCCCAGGACCAAGCAGCAGGCCACAGCGGTGGACCTGGGCATGGGGTGTCCTCATGGGAGTGGAAACTGAGGCAGGGGGAGGGGCTGTCATGCACTCCAGTGCCTGGCTGGGTGCCGGCACTTGATATATACCCACTCTGATCTGCTCATTCCCTCTACCACGAGCACTAATCTCGTCGTTGTCCCGATGAGGTGGTCACGGCTCAGAGAGAGGCCAAGGCTGGAGCCTGTTCAAGTCCACGCAGCTCAGGGAGGGCGGAGCTGGTGCTCAGCCAGGCCACCTGACCGGACCACCATCCTTTAGGCTGCCTGGACCAGACCCGGCTTCCCAGCATCCCAGCCAGTGTTCCTCCCCCGAGACGCTGCCCTAGTTGGCCTCTAGTACCCCTCCCCAGGAGGCAGCCAGCACCCTCTGGGGGCCCAAGGGCCATGAGGTTTCTGAAATCTGTTCTGGTTATAGAGTTGAAGCCCGGATTTGAGTGCAGGGTGATGGTTCCATGCTTCATGGCGTCTGGGCTCCATGGCCTCAGTGAGCAGGCCACATTGTCCAGGGGCTCAGCCACAGGAAGGTGCCCCAGAGACCATGGCAGCTGGACCCCTTTGCTGGATGGTGTCGGTCTGGGCACCCGAGGGCTGGCAGGATGGTTCAGGAAGCCGGAGGGCGGACAAAAGGTGCGGGCTTACGCCCCACTGGGAACAGGAAGTGGTGCATGGGGAGCCCCTCTCTGCGCCCTCCATGCCCGTTCTCCTGCTGCACCCCCTCCTGCAGGCACCACACTCTGACCCTGATGCCAGGACACCAGAGGTGATTACTGAGCAGGGCCCCACAGTGACAGTGACCGCCAGGCCTCCAGGAGAGTGAGGGTGCGCTGCACCCGGCCCCGCTGGAGTCTGGAGAGGACTGGTGGTGGTGATGGGTGCGCCCGGGGAGGGGGGGGAGTGGGCGGGGTGGGGGGGTGGGCCTAGCATCTGCAAGCCAAACCCCAGGGGCAGGAAGAGCAAAGGGCCGCGGGCGGGGATTAGCCCCGCGTCCATGCTCAGGAAGCTTGGAGCCACTGGATAGGCTGAGGCTTAGGGCGGAGGTGGGCGGGACAGGCCCTGGGGGCAAAGGCTGGGGGACCCGCTGGGCGGTGGTGCCGGGCCTTGTGACTCTGACTCCTGGGAGACTTGGGAGCAGGCTGGTCCGGAGCCCCTCACAGAGGGTGGGGCCTTCGTCTTGCTAGCTGCACCTGTTCCCTGCCCTGAGCTGCACCTCTCGCCTCCACCCTGCACCAGACCAGCACACTTAGTGGGTCCCTTCTCGGGACGCCCCCTTTCTTACAGCGTCCCCACATGGCCTGGGCAGGCTCCTGAAAGCGGCGGGGGCCGGGGGGGGGCTGGGGGTGTCGTGAGCTGGTGTGGGGGACCTGGGCTCCTGTGGATTGTCCGCTGGGCCGCTTCGAGCCTCAGCCTACTCTCTGTGCCTGGCACTTGAGAGGTGCCCAGGACACATGAGCTGAACCCAGGAGAAGAAGAAAACTACAGTGGGGTAGGAATCCCACCTTGTGTCCCGCCTGCCTTGCGGGTCACTGCCAAGCTCACTGGTCATGTAAGGGCCTGTTCTTATGAATAGTAAGAACATCAGAATGAGCCCGGAAGGCCATTCACGGGCGTGTGGTCATCCGTGAGGGGCTGCCAGGAGCCCGCGGAGTCCGGGGCGGTCGGCTTAGCATTCAGACACTCCAAGTCCACTTCACCTCCACAGTGGCCTGGGAGGAGGGCAGCGTTACTTCTCACCAGGGGGGAGACAGGCCCAGAGAGGCTGGTTGGCATGTTGCAGGTGACTCAGCCATGTGCAGGAGCCCGCAGGGCCCTGAGGATGAGTCCTAGCCTTGGAAAGACCCAGCTGTGGTCGTGAGCCAGTCATCCAGCCTCCCTGAGCTCAGTCCCTCACCTTTGAAATGGGCAGTGATATCCTCACTGGGAGCAGCGCGTAGATGGTCAGTGGGGCTGGACTTGGGGATCGTTATTGTTTTGAGGCAGATCCCAGTGCCCACACTTGTGTCAGCCGCACACTGGCCCATCCAACGCAGGCCCCTCGTCCCTGCGTCACTTGAAGATGCCTCACCACCAGGCGGCCTGACTAATCCACATTATCTCCAATAGTCTTCCACTCCCTCCCCTTGTAGGCTTTATCTATTAACCCCACGGACGCGTGGTCAGTGCACACCATTGCCCATATTCACGAGATGAAAGCAGAAATCAAGGATGGATTGGAGTTCATGCAGCACTCAGAAACCCACTGGAAGGTACGATTTTTGTCCCCGGGTCATCTGCCTGGAAAATCCCGTGCATCCCCCTTGAGTTAAGCCAAGGCTTTTAGACAGCAGTTCCAGGGTGTAGCTTAGCTCAAGGAAAATTCTGCTTAGAGGAGTTTCTGTCAAGCCACGGAGTCCCCTGGGAGCCACATGGCTCCCCCAAACCTGCCAGTGTTTTGCAGGTAATTCTAGAATAGGTTTTGGGCTGGGGCATTTGGTGTAAAGGAATGGAGCAGAAAATTACCAGGGGCACAAGAGCCTGGCCCCGGTGAGGACCTGGAGGGCCCAGAGCTGCCGACTGGCTCAGCTGACTCCTGGGGAACAGCAGCACCAGGGAGCCCTCCTTCTTCTGTGTGCATCACTTGCCCCCAGGCTTATCTCTGGCACCCAGCCTGGCCACCCGTCCAGGTGTGGTCTGCTGCCCTGCCCTTCTCTGTGCCATGGTGGGCTTCCCAAGGTCCTGCTGGCCAAGGCAGTGAGTCTCTGCCTGGTACTGAGCAGCAGATGCTCAGTGCCCGAGGGAACCATGAAGAGACCAGGAATCCGGCAGGGAGCAGGCGGGGAATGGTACAGCCCCTGCATCCCTCCTAGCTGCCCCCTGGCCTAGGACATCCCAGTGGGAAGTGGGAGTGGAATGAGGTAGAGCAGGTGAACAGGTGTGAGACAGCATTTGAGAGCTGTGATCCCGTGAGGCTCACACCCAGATCTTTCTGAGGATCCACAAACACTGGGGATGGGAGAGGCACTGGGGCAGCCTGAGCCAGAGCTCGGGGTGGAGCCCTGCCCTCAGGCTCCTCCAGGCAGAACAGGGCTAGCTCTTGTGAGAGCACTGAGTCTGGGGTTGGGGGCACAACCATGTGGCCGCCCTCCAGCTGAGGGCCGGGGGCTTCCCAGGCAGACCTGAGGGAGGCGAAGGAAGGCCTGGCCAGGGCCTTCCAGTGTGTTCCATTCACATCCCTCCCCCAAATGCTGTGATTTTACTGGGTGTTGGAGGCCTGGCTGGACCCTGGGGCTAGAAAGCAATTCCTCTGAGCCTCGTTTCCTCATCGGTACACCTGCTATTGTAGTAACTGTGAAGTCCTTGGCCCCAAATGAGTTCCCATTGGTGTTGTTCCAGACATGTACAAAATGAGGCAGCCTAGGCTGGCCAGCTCATCTCCCAAATGGCACTGATCCCCTGATGTTTGCATCTGTCCCCTGCCATGGCTCCGGGCAGCCTCTGGCCTGACAGGACAGCCCTAGGGTAGACGGTGTGACCTGGGGCTCCCTTTCCTCCTGCTCCTGCCCCAGACTGGAGTTCAGTCAAGATCCCACCCTACGGACCCCACTGAGAGTCCAGCCCAGACTTCTCTGTCCTCAAAAGGCCTGGTCAAGAGGAGTGAGCAGCTTCCCAGCAGCCCATGAACCATACCATGATAGGGGCACTCTCAGGGATGTGGAAACTCCAAGGAGGCATTCAATCACACTGGACTTGAGGGGAAGTGGTCAGGGAAGCCTTCCTGGAGGAGGCAACCTCTGAGCTGAGTATCGAAGGATGGTAAGGGTTTCCCGGGTGAAGCGTGGGGAGGTGGAGGGTATCCCAGCCAAGGACCAGATTGAGCAAAGACACTAAGGCCTGCTGGGGCCTGTGAGGAAGAGGGATGTCCTTAAGCACCAGGTGCAAGGTGGCCGTGGGTCAGCGAGGAGGTATTGTCAGTTTCTCTTTCCAAGAAATGGAAGGTAGTGCCCAGGCAGAGGAGGGAGCATTTGCAGTGACCTCAGAGAAGGAAGGGCTAGCATTCACGATGGGGCCTGAAGGGTGCCAGTAGTAACTGTCCAGATGTCAACCCCGCCCCCTTATTTGTGGGCTTCCCCAGTAGCTGTGGGGAGTCCAGCCCTGGGCTCGTTGATCCTCACGGCTTTCTTGGGATTTGCACACCCAGTGGGCCTCTGCACCCATTTGTGGGATGGATTTATCACCCGTTTTCTCTACTCCATGCATAAGGAGGGCTTGAGGCTTGAGGAGGGGGGTGACCTCGATGTCGGCCCTGCCCCTCCCACTCTAGCTGCAGGGCTGACAAGTCCCCAGTCACCGTTCCTCAGAGCTGGCCCGGGCAATGTTTCCTGCACTCAGAGAGGGGTGGGCGGCCTCTGCCCTGTCACAAAAACCACAGTCAGTAAGTTTTGTCCCACAGGTTGTCCGATTTTTCTCTAATTCTCTCGTTCTTTCCCCAGGACTGTGATATGCTTGCTTGTCATAATTACTGGCACTGGGCTCTGTATCTGATTGAAAAGGTGAGATGGCCTGCTGTCTTATCCTGTATAGATGTCCAGTGAAAGAAATCTCTTTCTGCCTTTTGCTATATCCCGGGGATAATATTTTGTGTTTGCACATTTAAATAGTGTCTGGATGTAATGGAGCATTCATGTCTTCAAATAGCTTTTCAGGCTTAAACTACGTTAGGCATTTTTCACCGTCTGGATGTGAAAATCACATATCTTGTATACCATCTATGGAGACAGGTTACACTGAGCGTCCTCTGCTGCTGGAGTGAAAGGCCGCACCCCCCAGATTGTACCCGAAGGAGCCATGAGACCCTCCGAAGGCTTTGTCCCAGTGGCAGTGAGGGTGGGGGGAGCACCCTTGACCCTAGTGATTCTGCCACTGGGTCCCATTTATAAGGGAGCTTCTTGCAATGGTGCTTAATTGTAGAGATAAATCTAGAAGCTCCCCAAAAGTCCAAAGAGAGATGCTCGGAAGGTGAGGGCCCACTGTGATCAGGGTCTGAGGGGAAGCAGTGGTCCCCACTGAATGTACCGTAGGGAAAATAGAGGGAAGAAAGCCTGGAGGAAATACATGAGAAAGCTTGTAACTGTTTGACAAGCATGATGGGGAAGTTCATGCCTCAACAGAAACTGTCCCTTGGGTAGCAGGGGCCGGCGCTGCCTCTCCCAGAGCACAGGGGCTTCTGCTGGGCCATCCTAAGACCCTCCAGGTGGCACTCCCCATCCCCTATGGAGGGTGCTGGGGGGGGGGTTGGGGCTGGGGATTGGCTTTTCAGCTCATTTCTCAGTGTTACCTTTGACCTCTGCCACATGTTGATCACGGGAACTTGATTCTTCCAGGGTGAATACGAGGCCGCCCTGACCATTTACGATAACCACGTAAGTCTACTTTTGCACCCAATTCGGTTGATTGCAAACGTTGGCCTTTTAATCTCTAGCACATACCTGAGCCCGTCAGTATCATCTCAGCCAGAAACAACACCTGGAGCAAGAACTCCCTTCTTGTGTAAGACCTCAGGGGTTCTTTCTTGCCCCAAGTGGTGGTGTAACCGGGACGGAGTGAAGACACTCAGTGACTGTTCATTGTGGGTGCCAGTAGAATGACACATCTATGTTGGTCCTTTCTGAAATCCCCGACTTTTGTCTAGTCATTTTATTTTTTTTTTAACGATTTTATTTATTTATTTGACAGAGAGAGACACAGCGAGAGAGGGAACACAAGCAGGGGGAGAGGGAGAGGGAGAAGCAGGCTCCCTGCTGAGCAGGGACCCTGATGTGGGGCTCGATCCCAGGACCCTGGGATCATGACCTGAGCCAAAGGCAGATGCTTAACAACTGAGCCACAAAGGCGCCCTTTGTCTAGTCATTTTAGATGGCTCTTCTTTGGTAGAACCACTGATCTGCCCACAGGAATTTTTTTTTTTTTTATTTTAGTAAAACACACATTTGCACTGTGACCATTTTTGAGTGGAGGGTTCCGTGGCACTGAGGCCCCTCACCAACCCCACGGTCTGTCTCTGGAACAGACTACAGCCCCACACCCACTGAACACGACTCCCTTTCCCCCTCCTCCAGCCCCCAGGCAGCTTTTAAGAGAAAAGGAGCCTGACTCACAGCTCCTGGGAGCCCCCGGGCATGCTTTGTAATAGAAGGCCGAGGGTCACAAAAATGCTTGGGGCGCTGGGCTCTAAACCCCAGGAAAACCCTTCGAGTTATGTCAGGATTGTGGGGTGACAAAGAAGGACTGTTTCCCCAGTGCGATGAGGGATAGGCCTGCCGAATGCAGAACCGGGGGCGGGCCCCACGGCCTCCCCCCAGCGTGGTCTGACGCCGCGGTTGGGGCGGGGTGGGGGGCAGTGACAGGTGCCAGCGCCCGGCCTGTGCTCAGGGCTGGGGCTCTTTCCTCGGGTTTGGCGTCTGGTGTGGCCAGAGCCCTGGGTGACGGGCCGGTCCTGGAAGTGGAGGTGGAGGGGCGATGGCTGTGGGTCCTGCTGGCTGAGGCTGGCTCTGTGCAGGCCCCCCACACGGCCCCTCCCTGAGGCCCCTCTTGCGCCCACCCACCCTTGTCTTCCAGGTCCTCCCCAGCTTGAAGGACAGCGGAGCGATGCTGGATGTGGTGGACAGCTGCTCCATGCTGTACCGGCTGCAGATGGAAGGTAGCCTGACCTGTGCACTCCCCCAGGCTCCTTTGCCCTCTGTCCTCCCACAGAATGAGGGGAAGGAGCTCTTTGTCCTGCTGCAGACCCAAGTGGCTTGCCTGTGTGTGGCCTTGGGTCCCGGCTCTGCAGCCGCCTTCCAGCCAGCCTGAAGCCAATGGGCTCTAGCCTCCACTCCCCTTTCTTCCAGTTCTCATCATCTCTGGGTGGGTAAGCTTAGGCTCCGTGCCATTCCCAACACCTGCCCACCAGCCCTGCAGGGCACGGCTGACACCTGGCCACCTCGCTCTGGGTGCTGCCTCCTTTCTCAGGTGACCGTTTCTCAACTCCCTGGGATTTCAGAGAGAGAGGTTTCTCAACATTGTCACCCCATGCTCTGCAGGTAGCCTGCATAGGGTTGACCACAGCTCTGGTGTTTCCGGCCAGCAGCCCAGGTGCCAGATGGTTCTCCCCCATCCCTCAGGCCCAACAGAGCCAAACCTGTATTCACTCTCGGCCCTGGGTTGGCGGGACCATGTAGGGATAAGGGCCTGGGCAGGGCAAGCTGTTTCCAGAAAGGCTTCCCAATGGGGGTGGAATGTGAGCCATGGAAGCATGTGTAGGGTTTTGCCAGGCAGAGGTGGGAAGGGATGTGATGTGCGGAGAGCAGCCTGCCCAGGGCCCCCAGGATGCAGAAACCAGCGGCCTGTTACAGGATGAGTGACCAAAGACGGGGTCAGTGTGGTCAAGGATGACAGGGGGGCAGCTGGAGCCCACGTGCCAGACAGGCAGGTAAAGAGTCTGGCTTTTATCCGGGTCTGCAGGGAGCCTCCTAGAGCAGGGCCACGCAGGCTCCCATCTGCCTCTGAGACGTGGGGCTGAGCTCAGGTAGGCCAAGGCCCGCACTTTCTGGGCCAGCTCATGGTGTTCAAATGGCGGGGCTGCAAAACTGAAAGCCGGGCTGTTTGTTGAGGGGCCTGGAAGAAAGGTGGAATGCTGTTGGCCCTGAGGCCCAGTGAACGCTCCACCTGTAGAGGCAGAGTGTAAAGCTGCCTGGGACCCTCCAGGGACCCTGAAGCCTCGAGCCTCCGGGCACATCGGAGGAGGCTGGGAGGGACAGAAGCTGGGAGGCACAGTGGTGGTGCCAGGGGCACATGGAGGGAAGGGAAAGGCTGCTCGCTCCCTCGCCATCCAGAGTGGAGACTCAAGAGACCTGTCTGATTTGATGGGCTGAGAGACAGAGGTCAAGGGCAACGTGTCTACTGCAGGGGGTGCCCCTGAGAAGCAGGAAGAAGCTAGTTCCTTCGGGGAATCAGGAGGGACAGGAAGCGGGTGGGGGGCGTGGGAAGCAGAAGAGAAGTAGGGACTGTGTAGCGCTGAGAAATCTAGACACAAACGTGAGAGAATGTTATTTATTAACTCCGCAGAGTTTTATCGAGCACCTGTTAGGTATCAGGTGCCATGCCAGTGGTAATTCCGGGAAGAATTTTAAAAATGGTTTTGGGGTTCGTCAAAAGGGCCAGAAACTTCAATACCCTTCAATAGTTCTTTTTTTAATTTGTTTTCTACCGTATGCATCTGTTGCATTTATAATTAAACAAAGTTAACATAAACTGGGCTCAAAGGCCTCAGCATGAGGCCAGGGGCCACCTGCCAGCCTCACTCACCTGCACAGCCGCCTCAGCTGGAACACAGGGGCCTCGGTGGGGCGTGGGGTTAAGGGGGCCCGTGTGCAGGACACGTGCACACAGGACGCCAGGCCTACGGTTTCTTCCCCGTGTCCTCAGGGGTGTCTGTGGGTGAGCGGTGGCAGAACATCCTGCCCGTGACCCAGAAGCACAGCCGTGACCACATCCTGCTGTTCAACGACGCACACTTCCTGATGGCGTCCCTGGGAGCTCGGGACCCCCAGACCACGCAGGAGCTCCTGACCACCCTGCAGGACGCCAGCGAGTACGGGAGGGGCCAGGGCCCTGCTGGGAGGGCCGCGACGGGGTGCTGGGGGTGGGCCGAGGTCTGCTCCGTCCCTGCCCTGACCCGCCAGGGAGGCTGGGAGTGGAGGCCCCACTGGTGAGCGCAGCCACGGGGACGCCCATGGAGAGCCGTTGCCACACAGGTGCCCCACCAGGGTGTGCTCCCCCGTGTTATATCCTGCAAGGGCACGGTTGTTCCCCTAAGAGACAGAGTCGCCTCCCCATCCCCCGGCTGGGGGTGGGAGCCTCAGTGTTGTGGGTGCAGCCTCCCACGGGGGGCACGGTGAGGCTCTGGAACCAGAAAGCCCCGCTGCTTCCCATCTGAGATCCCGGACAAAGTGCTTCTCTGCTCTGAGCCTCAGTCTTCTCATCTGCCAATTGGGGATAGAGTCTCTGCCGAGGCAGGCTGGCAGGAGAGGGACATGCGGCGACGTGGTCACACAGCTCCCTGGCATTGGTGGGAGCCGGTTTCAATCACAGGAGAGGCCGGAGGGAGACCGGAGAGGCAGGGTCCTCCGCGGCATGGGCCACCAGGGAGGCAGCCACCCCTCGTCTCCCCACTGGAGGGCTGGAGCTGTGGAAGCCATGACCCCTGGTGGTCTGTCCTGGGGGCCTTGCTTGAGCTGGCCACGACCCCAGCCACCTGCCTGCCCGCTCCTCCCAGAGCTGTGCTGCAGGATCTGTGGGCCTCGGCCGGGGAGGCAGCTTCAGGTGAAGGGTCCACGGTTTGGCGGTGGTCATTTCAGCACAGGGAAGGCCTGGGGAGCCCGCCAAGCACTCGAGTATTTGATTCTTCTTTTAAGACAGGCCTGGAGCAGGCTGTTGCCCGCAGTCCCCATGACCCAGCTCAGCCGCCACCCTCGCGGGCCAGCAGGCAGACACAGGTGGCGACAACCATTTGCCCCAGTGTGGGGGCCCACCCCAGTGCCAGGCCTTTTACCTGCACTGTGTGCAATCCTGACAGCCCTGTGAGGTTGGCACTGTTACCCACCCTTTACAGAGCAAACTGAGGCCAGATGTTGAGGGACCTGAGGCCAGGGGAACAGCACCATTCAACCCTGTTGAAGGGGTCGAGAGAACCCTATTCTCTCCCCTTCCTGGCTGCTTCTCTCCTGTCAGCTCACTTGACCAAAGCACCTGCCGTGTCGGGCACAGAGCCAGGGGCGCCAGGGGGAGGAAGAGCAGTCTGTTCCCTCAGGAAGCCCGAGTCCTGCCAAGGAGGCAGGTATGCCTTCGGGCAGTGTAAGGGGCCCTGCCGGTGACCGAGGGTGTCTTCTCGGCTGGCAGGGCCCCCGGGGAGAACCACCAGCACCTCCTGGCCCGTGATGTGGGGCTGCCCCTGTGCCAGGCCCTGGTGGAGGCCGAGAACGGGAACCCTGACCGCGTGCTGGAACTGCTCCTGCCCATCCGCTACCGGATCGTCCAGATCGGAGGCAGCAAAGCGCAGGTGGGCCCCCAGCCTTGGGCCACAGCGCGGCCGGAACGCGAAGGCCTGGGTCCGGCAGTCTCTCTCCGGGCCGGTGCCCAGGTGTGGGGGCGTCCTCATCTTTCGCACCCCCAGGAAGTTTGTCCCTGAGAACAGGCCTGCCCTCAGCGGGATGGGGGCTCCCATCCCTCATCATCGCACGTTACAGGAGCCCAACCTGTCCTACTGACCTTTCAGAGAGACGTCTTCAACCAGCTGCTGATCCACGCAGCCTTGAACTGCACGTCAGGTGTCCACAAGAACGTGGCAAGGTGAGTTCCCCGCTCACACCCATGCCGGGCTTGGGGACATCTCTAGCAGAGCTGCCCCTCTCTGGCGGGGGTCCCCCCACGGGCTTCCAGCCTGCCCTGAGGCTCCCACCTCCCTCTGCCTGAGGTGCTTCCCACCTTTGAGGTTGTGAGGACGTGAGGCTATGGGGTGCTTGGTTTTTCCGTTAGCATCTCAACTTGACCACCGGGGTCCACCCCACTCCAAGCCTGTCCTCCTGCCCCCCACCCCGGCCCTCCCCCCAGTCTCGCCATGCTGAGCTATAGTTACCCAACACGTCCTGCTCCTCCAGGGGCCTGGGCCTTTGCATGTGCTGCACCCTCTGCCGGGGTCGCCCTTTCTTACAGGCTGCACTGGGCCCCAGGAGGTGGGGGAGGGGGGGCAGGCAGACCCAGCGCCTGGCGTGTGGAGCTTACCTCTCATGTGGGAACACGAGCAACTATCTCTTACACACACACACACATCAACCTGCCCTGGGGGTGGGCAGTGCACGTTGCTCTGGAGGCTGTGGTGGAAGCTGAACTGGTTGGGATTCAGGGAGGGAGGGTGCCCTAAAGAAGAAACGGTTGAGAGGAAGCCTAAAAATCAGTAGATTTGACCAGGCTCAGTGGTCCGGTTAGGAGGAGGACCTGGAGGGTAAGGGATGTTGGGGGAGGGGCACCTCAAATAGAAAGCTCTGAAAAGCCCAGGCCTCACCAGCAGCCTGGGAGCTCCCACACCCCGGCTCACCTTGCCCTGCATGGGGCGGCTGGGTTCTGTGCTGGCTTGTGCTCTGGGGGTGAGACACGACCCCTCCTCATGGGTACCCTGCACCCCAATGGAACACCAAAGGGGAAAGGGGAAGGGAGGGGCTGCGGGGTGCCTGGTGGGTAGAATGGGGGTTGGGAGATCCAGTGAAGTCCGGGGTGGCCCTGGGCTGAGCCCTGGAGGTCAGGTGGAAAGGCCCAGGGTCTAAGCGCAGGCTCAGGGGGTCCATGCCGCATGAGACCCAGCTGCCCCCAAAGCATCTCCAAACTGAGCAGTGCAGGTGTTCTCAGCATTAATGAAATAGTTGCGCGTGCTCTGGATGCTCTAGAATTGGTTGAAACTCTGAAGCATCTTGGACACACACCCCTCACTCTTCACCCCTCCATGGCCATACGCAGAAGCTACACACCTTTCTTTAGTGGTCACATCACTTAGAGAGCCCCAGGCCATGGTGTGGGTGTGAGTTGGCATCTCAGGCTGGCAGGGAAGGTGGGGCCCTTTGGGCAGGGAGGCTGGCTGAGAGCAGGAGCAGGGGAGCTGGGGCAGGCGCAGGGTGGGGGCATGCCATGGGGGGTGGAGGATACCCTCCGAGCTGGGGGTGCTGGGGGGACAACACGCCCTGCGGGCAGCCTGGAGCAGATGCTGACCCCAGAGGGGAACCTGCTGCTGTCGGGCTGACAGGCAGTTCACTCCCCTCCCCTCCCCTCCAAGGTGGAAACCCTGCGCCACTGTCCATGGTGTCCCTGCCCCAAGTGCGGCCTAGCCCATTAACCCCACCCTCACCCCACAGAATCACTGTTGCCAATTGTTTGGGGTCTTTGCCTTAAACAATACTGGCTTGGTTTAGACTTGGGTTTCTCCATACCTTGTCTCCTGCCACTTACCTTCCGAGACAGCCTCAGGCGTGGCTTCCCCTGACCCCCTTAGACAGGCTCTACCCTCTTGTCTGGTGGGTGGATGGGCCCCCCAGCTTCCCGGGACAGATGAGGCCACAGTTGTGTGCTCACCCAGTTATGTGTCTTGGGGACAGTGTCGACATGTTCTCCAAACACTGGACCTCCTGGTGATGTACCGGTGATGTACTGGTGATGTACTGGAGTCCCTGCCTTCTCACCCTTGGCCGCTCCCCACCCCCGCAGCGCTCTGCCTTCTCCCTGGCCCCCCTGCCAAGCCCAGCTTTCCTGCTGCTGGGCTCTGTCCTTCCTGTCCCCTCTGCAGTGACACTGTCCCCTCTCTGCCCATCTCAGCCCCAGCCCGAGTTTCCTGTCCACCTTGGGGCTCAGGGACCACAGGGCCCCACATCCTTCTAGGAAGTTCCACCGCAGACCCTGTCCCTGTTTCCACAGGAGCCTTCTGATGGAACGTGACGCCTTGAAGCCCAACTCACCCCTGACCCAGCGGCTCATCCGAAAGGCCGCTGCTGTCCACCTCCTGCAGTAAGCTGGGCCTGGCCTCCTCCCCGGCGTCAGATCAGCTGCCTCCTGACTACCAGGGTTAGAAGCAGCAAGAGCCTGTTAGTTAGGGCTGTTGAGTAGTTTGCAGCTTTAAGCAGAAAGCCCTGTAACCAGCAGCGTTACAGGAAGTAGGGACACAAATCAATTTTACACATGATTCAGAATCTTGTAATCATTAAGGGTCAAGGTACAGTTGCAGTTAGAACCGATGTGGTCAGTGCTGTTACCACTTGCCTAGCAAACTGTTTTCCCAGGGGACTCTTACACCTCCTGGTATTCAAGAGTTAGAAGGCAGGGTTGGCTGGGGGCTGGCTCAGCTGGGGGAGGGGAGTCCTCCCCCGCCCCGAGGCTGCCCCTGGGATAAACCCTCTCCTTTTGTCTTCCCCATCATATTCTAGATATGTTGTCCCATCTTTTGGGTGAGAGCACCCATGGGGGGAAGCAACTTGCCCAGGGTCACAGCTAGCAGAGGCCCCGCTGAGATTCACCTTGGGTCCCCCAGCTGCTGCACCCACTGCCCCCAAAGAAGCACAGGCATATGGGGTGGCCCTCTGCTGTCTCTGGAGAGGTCTGCAAGCTTCCCTGGGGGGCTTTGGTGATGCCGATTAAGGGAACCTCGGGTATGTGGTTTCCTTTGTCAACTATGACTTTAATCACACAAGTGCACATGCACTAAGCGGGCACACTTTCTGGGGGGGTGTGGATTGAGCTCAGGGTTGCCCTGTTGTGGCAAAAACCAAAGTACTGTGGCATGGAGTTTTACCGAGATCTGAGCCAGTTTTCTATTTCCCCATCTTCTTAACCTGGCCCCAGTGACAGTCCTGAGCAAGCTGCTGATTTCCCTGGCATGCGCTCGTGAGGGGCGATCCCAGCCCCTAGATGTTTCTCAGGTTCTGTCAGTGTAGCTGAAATTAGGTAGGGACTCAGGCAGGGGGCAGTGGAGGCCTCCAAATTGATTAGACAAATTTCTGAGATTAAAATAAATCAGTTAATTGGTTCCTTTGACCGTTGCTGGTGGCATTTTTCATCATCTCCCACGTGCCAGGCCTGGGCTGGGTCCTGGGGAGACAGGCTTCTCCTTGAACTTGGGAGTGGGGGCAGGGCAGTGAGTCAAGAAAATGTGTAATTACAATAGGATTTCAAGAGAGGTGTTGTCTCTACCCAGGAGCTAAGGACACATGCCGGAGGGGAGCTTGCCCACCCATCCTGAGCTGTCCCCTCCTGCTGCCTGCTCACCCTCCATCTGCCCTTCCCTCTCCTGGTTCCAGGTAAGACACAACTTGGCCAGAGAAGCAGGAACCCTGTGGCCTCCTCTGCGAAGCCCTCCTGTTGACCACTGCAGGCTGGTGAGGGTGCCCCCTCTGCCCCCCAGGCCTTGGCACCTGTGTTTGCTATTGCCCCTTTCTCTCCTGCTGTGACCTCAGGTCAGGAATGGCATCTGGTCCCAACATCACCCAGCACACGGCCTGCACTGAGGACCTGTCAGAGGACGTTAGTGAATGAACTCATGAAGGGTGGCATAAATTGGGGGGAGGAAGAAATGAATCTATGATGAGCAGGCCCATGATAGGACAGCTGGATGAAGGTACTGTTCAGTTAACAGCAACAAGCTATTCATAATCAATGCAGATACTGACCTCCTATGTGCTGACAGGGTAGAGGGAGAGGAGCATTGGGAGTGGGTGTTGGGGACCCTCACCCCCAGCAACATCCACCGGGCTGTGGGGACCTGGGCCAATACCTGCCCCCTCCCCCCAGCTCCTGTTGCAGTTGCTCTGTGATTAAGTCAGGCAAGCGTAGGCCTTTGGACCATCGACTGGGCACGGGCACCACCAAACCAGCTGCTGTCTTCAGGAGGCCCTGCTAAGTGGAGGGAAGCCTGGAGCTCCCAGGCTGGGAGGCCCAGTAAAGCCAGCCTGATCAAGGGTGAGCAGGACCCGAGAGAGGCAGCTAGGAGATGACCTAACCCAGTGCCCTCCTTTGAGCCCCTCTTTCAGGGACTTCCTGGTTCCTGGAGCCAGTAAATTCTCTTTCTAAAGCCAGCCTGAAGCTGGTTTTCTGTTTCTTACAACCCAAAGACTCTTGACGGATACCTGCCGCTGGGTCTGCCTGGCACCACCTTCTCTAGTTAAGCAGGAACCTGAGCAAAAGACAACTCATGGGGCACCTGGGTGGCACAGTCGGTTAGGGGTTCGACTCTTGGTTTCAGCGCGGGTTGTGATCTTAGGGTTGTGAGATGGAGCCCCATGTCAGGCTGTGCTCAGCGTGGAGTCTGCTTGAGATTCTCTCCCTCCTGCTTGTGCTCACTCTCTCTCTCTCTCTCTCTCTCAAATAAATAAATCTTAAAAAAAGTCCAAAAGACAATGGAATTCAGAAGGGACCCCATGTATGGAGACTTAGGTGGGAAAGGCAGGGTCCAAGGGACCCAGCACATTTGAGAACAGTGGAAAGCCAAAGTCTACAGAGGGAGCCCTTTGATAGAGAAGAGGCGTTGGGGATGCCAGAAGACAAAGGGGACGCAGGGGGTAGGCTGGGCTCTTTCTGAGCTGCTAGATTCCCCCCAGACCCTCTCCCCACCTCCTTCCCCTTCAATATCCAGCTCCCACTCTCTCAGCTCTTGCCTGGGGCCCATCCCTGGGCTGTGTGAGGCTAGGGGACATCACATAATGGAGACCCCACCCTGCCTTTTAGAGGCTCACAGTCTCACAGGGAGCTGGACTCCGGAGCATAAGTGGAGAGGGACCCCAACAACATGGGCTGATTGGTGTGGACAGTGTGAAACCAGAGACACGGGAGTCCAGATGCCAGCCAGTATAGAAGGCTTCTTGGCATAGGTCCTGGGCCCAGGATGGCTGCCCCCTGGACAGCTCTCCACCCAACCTGCCCCAAATAAATAGCTCATTATTGTCCCTGAAAATGGTGCTCTCCCTCTGGAGTTCAGACCTTCCCAGAGCAGACTCTATGGGGCATCCCGGCCTCCTCCTTCCCACAGCCTCCTACAGCCACCAGTCCCAGATACCTCGAGCAACGGCTTCATGACACTGTGTCCTGAACGGAGCCCCTCATTTCACACTCCAGGCCATGAGGTGGGTATTATTTATACCTGGTTCACAGTCCAAGGCTCAAGTGAGGTCGATCTCAAGCTGCCGCTGATTGACCTATTCACCAGTCAGTCCTCCGTGTAGCTCAGATAGGGAATCTTGTTCCAACGTGTGCGTTCTCCCACGCAGACTCCCATCACCTGGCCACCCGACCTGCGCACCCCTTCAACCCCCCCCCCCATCTTGCCATCAGAACAAATCCAGCTCCCCAGCGGCTCTAAAGCCCAGGGCAGGCTTCTGCCACATCTCTGGCCATGCTCAGGCCCTCATCACTGTCCCCCGCCACCACTCAGCTTCTCCTGCTGCAAGGGCACAAACCGGCGTCACCCTGTGCGCTGGTCCGGGCAGGGTCCGGGTCTTCTTACTGTATTAGCAACGGGTGCGTACTGCTTTACAAAGCAGACAGGTGCACTTATTTCGTTTGGTCTTCCCATCAACATCTACGCTCGGAATTGAAGCCTCTGCACTTACAGATAGAAAGCTGGGATCGGAACTACGTCCCTTGGCACGCGCAGCTTACCCTGAGGCCACGCCTGCGAGAACACAGCACGGCGCTCCAAGGGAACCCCGGCGGGCCTCTGCGGACCCACAGCAGGCGCGGGGCGGAACCCGGGCTTGCTCAGCCCACCTGCGCGCGGAGGCAGGGAGCACCCGCGCCGAGCTCCTCCTCCCGGCGGCTCCGCCCCCAGCCCCCAGGATGCACCGGGCGCGGCGTCGTTGCGGAGCGCCTTCAAACCGGCCAATTGGCGGCCGCGCCGCGCCCGCCGCGCCGCGCTTAAATTCCAGGCCGGGGTGGGCCCGCCGGTTGTCGCGGTCGCTCGGGTGAGGGGCGCAGCGGCTCGGGCGGGGTCCCCTCGCGCGTAAGGTGGGGGCTGTCCCGAGCGCGGGGAATTCCGTTGTGCTCGGCCGCGGAGTATAGTCCTGATCAGGCCCCCGGAGCTCGCGGCCTCGGGCGGTGCGACGCAGAGGGTCTCGGCTGCACCTCCCGTGGCCTCCGGCCGCCATTCCCCTCCCCGACCTGGCCGCGGCCGCCCGCTCCCTCTGCCCGCGTCGGCACCGGGGAGTGACGGAGCCGGGGGGCCCGGGCCCCGACACCTGCTGACCCCGTCCTCTCCGCAGACCCCGTGACAGCCCTCGCCGTGGAGGGAGGACACGCCGGCGACGCGCCTTCAGCCAGCCAGCCAGCCAGCCAGCCAGGAGAAGCAGAGATGGATGTTCCCAAGGAGAATGGTACGTCCTTGTCGCTGCAGCGCCGTGGTTCAGGGAGCTCGGTGAAGATGGAGGTCGAGTTAATGCTTCTGTGAGAACTTAGTCCTGTATTTAATCAGCGCGCACCCTGTGCTCGGTGCCAGTGAAGCTCGTGGTCCCTGTCTTCAAGAGGTTTGCATCCGTCTAGCTTCTTTGGTTTTCGGTTTTCTGCCTCCCATTCCCCCCAGCTTCAGATTTCCATCAGAGCAGGGATTCTTTCCAGTCCGACTTGCTGTGGATACCCCGTGCCGAGAACACTGCCTGGCACTTTGTAGGCGCTCAGATACTGGTGGGATCGAATTTGGCGTTTCCTCTTTTATTCATTGCTGGTTCCTGTTTGCTAAGGTTTGTTTAGAAGCTTTGTGACTTTCCTGTCTTGTTCTGTCCCTGTCTGGCCTGAGCGTCGGGGTGAGAATACAGCCTCAGGAGATGAGGGAAGGGCCATACCCTCTCAGTTTTCTCCTACAGCGTGTGGACATCCTTGTACCCTTTGCTCCTCACAACATCCATGTGAGGCCGGTGGACTGGATATCCTTGACACTTCCATTCTGCTAAAACGGTCCTAGGGACTTTGCCAGTTTCATCACTTCTTCCTTGTCTCTGGAAAGCTATTTGCCGATGCACCCCTTTCTCCTTCCTGTCCATGTCCTCACTTTCAAATACCAGCCCCTTCCATGTGCGTGCAGAGTTCCCACTGGCTGCTCTTGAGGACTTCACCCCTTCTGTCACACCCCCAACACCCTTCGTAACCTTACTTTGCGCCTGCCCATTTGCTCGTGCTCGTCATTGGCATACAAATAGAAATCCTTCCACCTCTCTGGCTGGTTTACCCATCTCTTTGCAGGCTCCTCTGCCTCTGTTGTCTTCTGAAGCTAATCTTACCCAGGACTTGGTCTGGGGTCTCTTTGTATCCCGCATACCCCAGGGGCCCTCAGACGTTCCCACGGCTTTAAACTCAATCTGCTTTGTAGTGGTGCCCACATTTTGTCTCGAGCACCATCTTTCCCCAGAGCTCTGGATTCCTGTACCACCTGCCTCTTTGGCGTCTTCACCTGAGTGTCTTGCACCTCAAACTCAATGTGCTCCCCCTCCCACCCCATTCTTAACCTGCTCTTTGTCTTCTCATGGAAGTAAATGGCCCCTCCATTTACCTGGCTGTCTAAGTTGTGAAGCAGCCGGGTTCATTCAATCATCCTTTACTGCTGTTTCCACCTTCAGAATATATTTGGATCCATCTATCTCTTTCCAACTCCACCCAGATGCCACCACCTTTTGCCTCAGCCCCATTAGCTCACCTCCACCTCCTTGTGCAATTTTTCACTTTGGCCAATGTGTGCATTTGTGATTTCAATAGACACTGTTTTTTTTTCCTTTCTGATACAGTCTACACAGCAGCCAGGGTAACCTTTTTAAAAACACAAGTTAGATCATAACTCTTGTGCTTAAAACCTTCCATAGCTTTCTGTAGCACTTAGGATAAAATAGAAGCTCCTTGCCATGGCTTGCAAACCCTCCAGGATCTGACCCTACCTGTTTCCACTTCCTGCAGCCTCTCCCTCAGCCACCCAGCTGCCCCTCCAAAGGCCATCAATGTCTTTGGTCTCTTTGATCTTCCAGACCTGATCTGTGCAAGAGCAAAGCAGTGTGTGTACATTGTCAGCCGATTGCCCCTTTTTTATAGTAGATGGAACCCTTTGCTGCATCTTGCTTTTGGCACCAATTTATCTTGATGATCTTTGTATATCAATGCATGCACTATTGCTGTTCTCTTTTTTTTTTTTTTAAAGATTTTATTTATTTATTCGACAGAGAGAGAGCACAAGCAGAAGGAGCGGCAGGCAGAGGGAGAGGGAGAAGCAGACTCCCCGCTGAGCAGGGAGCCCTATGTGGGGCTCGATCCCAGGACCCTGGGATCATGACCTGAGCCGAAGGCAGACGCTTAACCGACTGAGCCACACAGGCGCCCCTGCTGTTCTCTTTTGTACCTATGTAGTGGTCCATCTTTGCGGGGGGGGCGCGCTGTAATTTCTCCCATCTGCTGTGGGTGCACGTTCATTTGTGTCCAGTGTCTTGCTTTTTCAAATGCTGCTGAAGTGACATCACTGTGACTGTGGGATGTCCGCACACGGTCTTCTTGCTGGGCGGGAGGACACGTGCACCTCTTATTTTGTAGGTGCTGCCGGGCCACCTGGTGACACCTTCCTGAGCGCTGTGTGAATTGTCTTGTTCCCTACAGCCTCGAGCACGTTTTACCAAACTCTGTGATATTTGACAACCTGATAGGTGAAAAGTGGAATCTCGGGGTTATTTTTGTTTTATTTTATTTTACCAGTTATTTTATCTGTTCCTATCATTTGTCAGTTCTTCCATTACATCATTGGTTGTTTTCTTAGCAGTTTGTAGGCAATGTTCATAAATGAGCCCTTTGAGATGGGAGCTGCAAATACTTTTTCCCCTGCTTATTGTTTCTTTAACTTTGCTCATAGTGATTGTTGCCATGCAGAGATTTAAAATGTTTTTTTATATACTGTACTATTAGTCTTTTATGGCTTCCAGTTTGGTCTCACAGTTAAACCTCTTGTCTCCAGGTTATAAAATAATTTCCTCATGGTTTCTTCTTGTTCCTTTTTTTTTTAAGATTTATTTATCTATTTTGAGAGAGAGAGCACGCACGAGAGCATGCACATGAGTGAGGGGAGAGGGAGGGAGCGAGGGAATCTCAAGCAGACTTCGCATTGAGTGCGGAGCCCGACGTGGGACTCAAGCTCACAACCCTGAGATCATGACCTGAGCCGAAATCAAGAGTCAGTCGCTCAACCCACTGAGCCACCCAGGCGCCCCTTCTTGTTCCTTTTATATGTATTTTCCGTTTTGAATACACCATTTCCCCCTTTAATTTGATGTGCTACTTTTACGTTATACTAAGTTTTCTATATATCTGTCTTGCGTATTTGTTAGGTTTATTCACGGGTATTTAGTGGTTTTTGCTGCTATTGTAATGAGGTCTTTTTTTCCATCATATCTTCGAACTGTTCTTTGTAGATATGAATGCTGTCGATTACTGTGTGATAATTTTGTCCTCAGGCACCTGCTTTTATCCTTTCACTACTTGTAACAGTATTTATTTGATTTTCTTGTGTCTGTAATCATAGCATCTGTGCACTGTGATACTTTTACCTCCAGATTCTTTACTTTGTCTGATTGTATTGGTTAGTGTACCCAGAACGGTGTCTGGGCTTGTCGTGAGAGCAGACATCATGGCCATGTGCTTGGCTTTCATGGAATTGCCTCTTTAGATTTCCATTAAGCCTCATGCTGGTTTGCGAGTTAATTTACATATAGGTAGTAGTTTTGGTGCTGTTTATCAATATTTCCACTGTTTTTTTCCCTCTTTTCTACTTTTTTTTTTTTTCCGAGTACATGGCATAATTGTCCTTGTCTGCCCACTTAAAGTTGGATTCGTCTCAAGTGACTTGAAAGGTGGCCAGTGAAATGCGAATGCTGTGATATGTGTCACTTCTAGGTCTTTAAGAACTAGTATGGAATTTGCTGTTTCCCTTTTCTTTAGCACAAAGGCCAGCCTCCATCAGCCTGTGTTCTGCAATGAGGAGGACGTGGAGCAGGGCCCAAGCCTCAGCCGATAGAGAGTTTGAGTGAGAAATACACCACTTGAGATTCGGGGCTTGTTACTTCAGCACAAGTTAGCCTGTCCTGACTGATAAAGTATATTTGCTCCTGACTTTAGAAGGAATGCTTCTGATAGTATCCCATTAAACCTAATTTTGGCTTTTGGCTGGAGAGAGATACTTCCTTGTATGATCAAACGTATCTGTTTTATATCTGTTGCTTTTTATGAAGAGCTTTTAAGGTCAACAAGGTATTTTGCATTTTTTCATATGTCTTATTAGCATAGATGGACATGATGTAGGGCTTTCGTTTTAGATCTAGTGATATGATGATCATGTTACTAGATTGTGTAAAATTAAACGATCCTACAGTCCTGAAGTCCTGAAACAAACTTCACCTAGTCATGATATATTCTTCTTCTTTTAACGTGTTGGATTCTGTTACCTAATATTCCTATTTAGGATTTGTATGTTATGAGCCTGGTCTGTAGCTTTCTTTACTGAGCTAACTCTAGAGCTTTTGGGATATGGTTATGTTTGCTTCATACAAGTAAGTTGAAAGGTTTCTTTTTTCTATCCTGTGGAGCAGTCTAAATAATTTTGGGATTATACATTCTTGAAAGACTTGACAGAATTGTCCTGCGAAACTATCTGGGACTTGTGTTCTTTTGAGGACAACAGCTCTTGAATAAATGTGTGCAGTTATTTTATGATAATTGAACTATTAAGATTTTTTTCCCTCTCTTCTGGAGTCAGTTTTATAAATAAATCTCCTTAAGTAATTTAAATACAAAAAAATAGTGTTTTCTAGAAAATTATGCTTTTCATCCAAGTTCTTAGGTTTATGGGCATGGAGTTGAGCAGGCTGGCTTAGGAATCTTTTAATTTCCTCTCTCTCTGGTTATTTCTTTTTATTTCATTTGTGCATTTGTGCTTTTACCTTTTCCTGGATTGGGTAATTAAGAATAATTGAAGTGACTAATTAGGACCTAATTAAGATATTAGTATATTTTAAATTTTTATAATTTTAATAAGCATGCTGCATTGTTTTTTAGGATCAAATAAGAAGTGATTTGTGAAAGTGCTGTATAAACTTGATAGTATGGAAATATCCGCTCAGTGCATTTCGATAATTATTTGCTAAGTGTCCAGGCCCTTAGCTGGACATAAGGGAATTTGTGAGAGCGTTAGACATTTTCTGGCTTGGAGGAGCTTACAATCTAGTTGGAGCCCAGAAGAGTAAAGGGACGTTACAGAACAGCAAGGCAGTATAGTGACAGAGGTCAGGTCTAGGTGATGTGGGGAGGCCCTAGGGAGGAATGGGGGTGGATGGGGTGTGAGAGCTAGGGGAGGAAGCAGTTGCCCCAGGAAAGAGATCCACTAACCTGGAGCCTAAGGTTTGTTAGAGGGAGTCAGGCTTACAGGCCTGGCTGGTGAAGGAACTATGGTGGAAGTGTAGATGGGGGGTACAAAGCGCAGTTTCATCTGGGGTTTCAAGGTGGGCTCTAAGAAGAGATGGTCGTCAGCAAATACGGATGGAGTCCCAGACACAGCGAGAGAGGGAACACAAGCGGGGGGGAGTGGGAGAGGGAGAAGCAAGCTCCCCGCCGAGCAGGGAGCCTGACGCGGGGCTCGACGCGGGGGCTCGATCCCCGGACTCGGGGATCATGACCTGAGCGAAAGGCAGACGCCTAAAGACTGAGCCCCCCAGGCACCCCTGTAAGCAAGGAATTTAATTCTGGGGGACCTGAAGCAGATGGTCTTTTGAAAATGGTCTATATCTGAAGATGATTTATCTAGCCTTGAAAAACTAGTTGAATGACTTGGTGAATGCATTTTAAATTATATCTTAAAGATAAGGACTTGAACTTTTGGGTCAGCTTAGCAAACAGAATTGCTGATGCTATTTTAAAAAGAAACCAAAAAAATTTGATAATCTAGAGCCCTCTATGATAATGTGACTGTTGAAATAATGATAAGGTACACTTTGGAGAGTGAAATATTGTCATTGTTTTTATAGCTGTAGAGACTGGTAATGTTTTGTCTTTGTCAGCTCCAACCCTCAAATAATGCTGGACTTTTTCCCCCCAGACATTCTTCTCTTAGCTGATGAAAAATTTGACTTCGATCTTTCATTGTCTTCTTCAAGGTAAATAGATGAGTTTTCTTCCCTTGCCTTGGGTTTAATCGCATTCGGTAAAGTCTTTCATTTAAATGCCATTGTCATTAATAATCCTTTTATTTAAAACAGTGCAAATGAAGATGATGAAGTCTTCTTTGGACCCGTTGGGCATAAAGAAAGATGCGTTGCTGCCAGCTTGGAATTAAATCATCACATTCCCGAAGAGCCTCTTTTGCCAGCCTCGGAAAGTCACTTCATCTGGAGTCCTCTCCCTGGGGAGAAATTTGTGGAAGTGTATAAAGAAGCTCACTTATTGGCCTTACAGATAGAAAGCAAGAGCAAAAACAAGGCAGCCCAAGATGTCACAGCTGAAGACCTTTGGAGCCAGGGCGTGGAGAGGTTTATACAGGAATCAAAATTAAAAATAAGCCTATTTGAGAAAGAAAATGAAATGAAGAAAAGCCCCAAGTCACTTAAGAGGGAGACCTATTACCTGTCAGACAGCCCCTTGAGGGACCTGCCACTTCGGGGAACCCAGACACCCTCGGGCATGGTTCTACCAAGCGCTCCCGCCCAGACACAGGGGCAGCCACACTCACCCCACTCTTCTTTGCCAGTGGAACCAAGTACTACTCACCCTCCAAACCAGGCAGGGACTCAGAAAAAGGTCATCAGCAAATTGGTGCGGCCCCGAGCTTTTTCTGTGAGAGGGAAAAACATTCATGTGGCCACGGAGCAGGTAGACACATGCACGTCCCAGAACATCTGGCTGGAGAGCCAGGTGCCCCCTTGCGTTTTAGCCCCTTTGGTTTATGGCCCTAATGGGAACTGTGACGGGAAGAAACTTGGAAATGTAGCTGTGCTGAGGGCTCAGAAGTGTAGGAACAGAAAGTCCATGAAGAGCAGGAACAGCATGGAGAGCTGGGTTTGGGGTGGATATGGATGGGGGCGGGGCTACCTTCCTCCTGTGATGACTTAAAAACACCTCCTCCTAAATGCCATTTGAAATTTTTCCTTTTGCTTTGTTACAATATTGGATTTTCTACTTATAGGGATTTCGTGTGCTTTAACAAGCAACTTCCAAAAATTCCCTCTTGGAACAGCCACTAGTCATCTTCCTTAGCTGTGAATTTGTTTAGATCGCTTTCCTCCCAGGAATTAAACAGATGAGCTGTCCTGGGAAGTGGCAGTGGGCAGGCAGGCCTTTGGGAGACGGCTAGCCAACTCTGGTGCACTGGGGTTCCTGGAGGCTTGTGGGATAGGGCCCTCGGGTAGGGAAGGTGTCAGAGGGCGGCTGCTTCCAGGCTTTGCTGCTGCATCTCTGCTCAGGGGAGGAAGCCCCTGCTTTGAGGAGAGCCAGCGGGTCGGAGCCTGCCGTGTGCCGTTCCTCAGCTCTGCTGCTAACCAGGGCCCCAGGCCTCCGCTCTATGGGACAGTTACGGAGGAATGGTGCTCTGTGGGGTCAGTGCAAACCACCCAGCAAGGGCCTAGGAGCTCCTGTTCCCTCTACAAGCACATCTCATGTACTGCATGACTCTTTGCCCTCAGAACCCAGAGCTGATCCGAGCTCAAAGCTTGTCTGCCACACTGAAGCCTGAACAGGAGGTATGCCGGCTGTCTCTTCCCCTAAATAGCCGGGGCTGTTCCTTTAATCATACAAACTCCCTTTCCTGGAGACCATTTGGATGTAAATTTCTAAAAGTGATGTGTCTAGAATGAGAGTGACACGGGTCTTATGTATAGTACATGGACCCAGGTAGGGATTTCTGTATGTAACAGGTGGACTCAGGCAATCAGGAAATGCAATATTAGTAGATAATATGACATATAACATGGATGACCCTTGAAAACATGCTTAGTGAAGGCAGCCGAACACAAAAGGTCACATACTATATGCTCCCATTTATAGGAAGGGACCATGATAGGCAAATTGTAGAGAGGGGAGTAGGTTAGTGTCTAGCTCGGCGGGGAGGTTGATGGGGGTGGGAAGTGACTGCTAGGGGCTAGCAGTTTCCTTTAGGGACAACAAGAATGTTCTCGGGTTGATGCTGGTTGTACAACACTGAATATGCTAAAAACCACTGACACGTACACTTTCAAAAGGCGAATTTTTTTTTATTATGTTAATCACCATACATTACATCATTAGTTTTTGATGTAGTGTTCCATGATTCATTGTTTGTGCGTAACACCCAGTGCTCCACGCAGAACGTGCCCTCTTTAATACCCATCACCAGGCTAACCCATCCGCCCACCCCCCTCCCCTCTAGAACCCTCAGTTTGTTTTTCAGAGTCTGTCGTCTCTCACGGTTCATCTCCCCCTCCGATTTTCCCCCCTTCATTCTTCCCCTCCTGCTATCTTCTTTTTTTTTTTTTTAAACATATAATGTATTATTTGTTTCACAGGTACAGGTCTGTGATTCAACAGTCTTGCACAACTCATAGCGCTCACCATAGCACATACCCTCCCCAATGTCTATCACCCAGACACACCCTCCCTCCCACCCCCCACCACTCCAGCTACCCTCAGTTTGTTTCCTGAGATGAAGAATTCCTCATATCAGTGAGGTCATATGATACATGTCTTTCTCTGATTGATTTATTTCACTCAGCCTAACACCCTCCAGTTCCATCCACGTCGTTGCAAATGGCAAGATTTCATTCCTTTTGATGGCTGCATAATATTCCATTGTATATATGTGTATCACATCTAAAGAGGTGAATTTTATGTGAGGCATATCAATTTTAAAGGAAATGATGTAAAGGAAAAAAACTTATTGTTTCAACACTATGACTTTATGAGCTGCTACTGCTTCCTAATAGCTGCCCTTGTTATAAGGGGTTATTTACATAAACATGGGTTAGTTCCATGAATGCCCTTGTAGCTAAATATTGTCAGAAATGTATTCTTTGACTCTGTTGTCCAAAGAAAAACGGCTTCCAGTACTCTTCCAAGAAGATATATTACAACTGAGCAGTGTCTCTGCTAGAAGGAATGACCTTTTAATGAGTGATTCCTTTCCATACAGCATTTTAAAATTTTTGTTACTAGAACCAGTTTCCTCATTATCATCCTTACATAAGAATCCTGATTGAGGAATAGCTTTAGAGGATCTCTCCTGTTAATGATCGGTCTTAGTATTATTCTACTCTGTTTTTAATGAGGAAGCAAACACCATCATCAGTTTTGTCTGGTAGTTTGGTGCGGGAAGTGAGCTGCTACATTCACTTCAATCTGGTTGATGAATGGAGGAACGTGAATAGCATGGGGAAGGTAGATGGTGCTTGCTCTGCATCAAAGCCTTGGTGCTTCCGTATGTTGTTAAAGACCAGACAGCTCTCACATTTCATCTTAAAATTTTCAGCCTAGGAAAAGGATACCAGCCAGTCCTTCCAATATGAAAATCCTCAATGAAAGGGAATCCCGCAGGGCTGTGCCCCCTGACAAATCCAGTGCCGCCCGGGAGCTCGCTAGCTTGCCAGCTGGTGGGAGCCACTTGGTCCAAGGCAAGCGATCTCTCCCTGTTCCAAACAAGGTGGGTCTGCCAGGGCTGCGGGCAGGCGTGGCTTGTGAGCAAAACCAATACAGGGGCAGCGCTGTATACATAAAATGTGTCTTCGACTAAAATCAAGTTTAGGAAGGTTGAAAATGGGATCGGTGTGAGGCAGCTTGATGAAAGGCAGCACGGCCTGGCGTGCGGTGGGGGCTCCGCGGACTGAGGAAAGTCAGCATCTCTGAGCATCTGTGTCTATGCCTTGCTCCCTGCTTCCCTCAGACGAGATGGGAAGTCAGTGCTTCAACACCGCACTCACAGGCATGGGGACAACCGCCCACAGCTCTGCTATTTCTTTCCTGGCATTGTGGTTAAACTGAGCTGTGCATAAGAACCGCTGAAGTACTTGTTAAAATTGCCAGAAGCTGGGCCCTACAGCTCTGGACTTCGTGGGCGGGGGTTGGAGCCCAAAAATCTGCATTTCAGCAAGGTCCCACGTGTTTCTCATGCAGGGCTGTGAAGACTACCCTTGAGCAGTACTGCTTGGCCTTTTCCTGTACATTCAAGATGATCGTTATTAACAATTATTTATAAACCCTATTTTTGCATTAAAAAGTAACGGGTAGATCATGAACTCTTTGATGACTGTTTTTTTTTAACATTTTGTTTCAGTTGGGGCTGAAGAAGACCCTGTTGAAACTGCCTGGTTGTGCAGGTCTTTCAAGAAAGTCCTCTTCCTCCGGGTCCGTTTCGGCTATGATTTCCAGGGCGTGTGCTTCTCCAGCAGCCGGCAGAGGTAAGGCCGGTGGGGATCTCCGCGCCTAGACCCACCCAGGCCTAGCGACGCCAGGCCCCAAGTGCTGATATCCTTCTGAGACCGTTTCCGCAGAGCGCTTAGACTCCGCAGGAGGTTCTGGAGGGTTTGCTGTGGTGTGCGGCGGGGGCCGTGGGGTCAGGGTCCCTGCCCTCACGGCGCTCCCACTCCGCTGAGGAGAGACGCTCTCAGGCTGGGGTTTTTGGTTTAGGGTGGCCCGCACAGTGCGCGAGCTGGTGTATGCTCCCGGTGCCCGCGAACGCACAGGGACACGGAGACCGGCCTGTGGACATGTAATCAGACACAGGTTTTAAAAATAGGACTGTTCCAGATCATTTAGAGCATATGACCCTTGTAAACTTGGCATTTATTTAAATCCCCACACCCAAACCTGATGAAAGTCAGGCTAAGTTGTCATCTTAGCAAGCCGTGGGCGCCATCTAGTGGTAAAGGGAAGAAGCCCTAGTGCGCTGCGGGGAAAGGCCACCTTCCAGTCCCTTCGGGACTCACCCCTCTCGTCCTGTGCTATTTGCTGTGTAGACGTGTGTGGATTTTGTTCACAAAAGGTGACGGGTTCCCAAAAGACTGTCAATTCTGGCATCAGACTGATGTGATTTGGAGTCCCGACTGCCCGGTGGTGGTGAAGACACCTGATGTTGTTTGTGTGACTGGACAGACGGCAGGACCGTGTCCCCGGCCGTGCTGTCGCGGGCTTTAGAAGGAGTGCTCGAAGGGCCCGCCCCGGCCTCTCTGGCACTTGGCCCGTGATCGGGGGGGGGGGGGGGGGGGGGAAGGGAGTTCTGTCAGACGAGGGGCGCTGAAGTTGTGTGGCTGCCGCGGGCAGGGCATCGGCACCCTTTTTCCCGAGGATTGCCGCAGTCCTAACTGGGAAAGGCTGTGAGACGGGCGCTGAGCGGGCCCGACGGGTGCGTGCGCGTCCTCGGGCGTCAGGCGCGGACGGGACAGCGTGCGGGGGCGTTGAGCGGGCCCGACGGGTGCGTGCGCGTCCTCCGGCGTCAGGCGCGGACGGGACAGCGTGCGGGGGCGTTGAGCGGGCCCGACGGGTGCGTGCGCGTCCTCCGGCGTCAGGCGCGGACGGGACAGCGTGCGGGGGCGTTGAGCGGGCCCGACGGGTGCGTGCGCGTCCTCCGGCGTCAGGCGCGGACGGGACAGCGTGCGGGGGCGTTGAGCGGGCCCGACGGGTGCGTGCGCGTCCTCCGGCGTCAGGCGCGGACGGGACAGCGTGCGGGGGCGTTGAGCGGGCCCCGACGGGTGCGTGCGCGTCCTCCGGCGTCAGGCGCGGACGGGACAGCGTGCGGGGGGCGCCGTAAGGCCAGTGCGCCTGGTGTACTGTGAGCTCTGGCGTCAGCCTTTCTCTTCGAGTTTTTCTGTAGGAGTCTTCCCAGGCTGACGTCTTCGTGGGGCATATTGGCACCTGAGTACTTTTCGCCTGGGTTTATCTTCTTTCTGTTTTAAAGATTTTATTTATTTATTTGACAGAGAGAGACACAGCGAGAGAGGGAACACAAGCAGGGGGAGTGGGAGAGGGAGGAGCAGGCTTCCCGCCGAGCAGGGAGCCCGACGCGGGGCTCGATCCCAGGACCCCGGGATCGTGACCTGAGCCGAAGGCAGACGCTGAACGACGGAGCCACCCAGGCGCCCCTTCTTTCTGTTTTAAATAGTGCCCGTGATTGCTATGACCCAGCCTCCTTGGGATTTGAAGGAACCAACCCGTTTGACTGCGCCTTCTCTCCCTGTACCCTCCCCACCTCCCTGACTAGAGGGGTGGAGCGTGTGACTATACTGTGCATTCCTGGCTGCTCAGCCAGGGTACGTGTCTGCTGTTGACAAATCAGGGAAGACAGATGAGCTTGAATTTACATATACTTACGTACATCTTGGTAATGTGTCTAGAATTCGTACCTTAGAACACACTCAGATAAGCCATGAGCAACCAAGCTTGTCCTGTGTTTGAGGACATTACCTGACGGGCGTACAGAATGTTGCTCACAGGTCCTGTTTCATCATATGGAAATCATCATGATCGAAATAAATAATTTTCCTCACTTGAAAACTTTGTAAGTGTTTGTTAAGTAAGTTCATAGTTTAAAAATGACATCAGCTTGAGTGATAGCCAGATTTTGTGTGTTCTCTTCCAGCTAGATCCAGTGAAACTGCAAGTGTTCCCACGGGCAGTTACCTGCCTCTGCAGGCAGGCCCTGTGGGTGCCTCCTGCAAGCAGAGCAAGTGGGCCGCGGTGGCTGAGGTGAAGGTGGAGGCTGCCAAGGCGCCCACCCCAGCAGCTCTTGCCCAAGCCGGGACGCCAGAACAGGGAGGCCCGGGGCGGAGCTCCAGCTCCACCGGGTCCCAGCCCTCTCAGTTGAATACAGCCGGCAGTGTGAGAAGGCGTGACTCCTACCTACTCCGCAGGACGCAGGCCGTGCCCACCCCTACAAGTCAATTTAAGATCCCCAAGTTTGCTACTGGTAAGGAGTGGGTCATTTTTCATATGGTTTTAAAATACTGAACAGATTCTACTTAAGGTTTTTGGCTTTCTTCTTTTTTTTTCTAAAGACTTTATTTGAGAAAGAGAATGAGAGAGAGAGAGAGAGAGCATGAGTGGGGGAGGGTCAGAGGGAGAAGAAGACTCCCTGCTGAGCAGGGACTCCAGGATCATGACCATGGCAGTCGCTTAAACAACTGAACCACCCAGGCACCCAGCTTTCTTTTTTCTTTTCTTTTTTTTTTTTTAAAGATTTTATTTATTTATTTGATAGAGAGAGCGAGAGAGAGCACAAGCAGGGGGGGTGGCAGGCAGAGGCAGAGGGAGAAGCAGGCTCCCCACAGAGCAGGGGGAGCCCGATGTGGGGCTCCATCCCAGGACCCCGGGATCATGACCTGAGCCGAAGGCAGTTGCCTAACCGACTGAGCCACCCAGGCGCCTCAGCTTTCTTTTTTCTTAAAGCACTTTAAATGCGTTGTTCTAGCATCTTCTCGCTTGCGCCATTTCAGATGAGAACTTGGTGGCATTCTTGTCTCACAGTCACTCCCCTTTGTCCCATCACTGCTCCTGCACTGCTCTCAGAAATTCCTCTTATTCTTTTCAGCATTTTGATTATTATGAATTTCGAGGTGGCTTTCTTTGGGTTCATCCTTCTTGGGGATTCTTGAGCTGCTTTGATCTGTGGATTGATATTTGTATTCCGGGAAAAAAAACTTTGCTGTTCTTTTTTCAGATTCTTTTTCTTGCTTCCCTTCATTTCCTGGGACTCTAATTACAAGTATTACAGACCTCTCGATGTGGTCTGTAGGTCACAGAGGCCCTGGGTTTCCCCACCTGTTCTTGTGTTTCAGTTGGGACGTTTCAAGATCATGTCTTCACATTCACATCTTTCTTGGCAGTGTGTCCAATATGCAATTAAGCCCATCCAGTTAATTTTTCGTTTCTGATATTGTAATTTCCCCATGTTTGTCCTAACAGTGTTTGTTTAAATTCTTTTTTTTTAAAGATTTTATTTTATTTATTTGACAGAGAGAAAGACAGCGAGAGAGGGAACACAAGCAGGGGGAGTGGGAGAGGGAGAAGCAGGCTTTCCGCTGAGCAGGGAGCCCGATGCGAGGCTCAGTCCCAGGACCCTGGGATCATGACCTGAGCCGAAGGCAGACGCTTAACGACTGAGCCACCCAGGTGCCCCATTGTGTTTGTTTAAATTCTTGAACGTATTTATGATGGTTGTTTTAAACTGTTTCTTCTAATGCCACCTTCCCTGTCACTTTGGGGTCCATTTCTAGCGACTAAGTTTTTTTCTGGTGATGGTCACATTTTCCTGCTTCTTCCCATGCTTAATAATTGTTGATCATCTCTTAGATGGTGTTAAGTTCAGAATTTTTGAATATCTGGGTTTTGTTATCCTGCTTTAAGGAGCTCAATCTTGCCCTGGAAGGCATTTAAATTGTGGGTCAACTTGATGCTTTAGAGGATTCTTTATAAGCTTTGATGGGGCAGGTCTTAAGTAGCTGTTTACCCTGGGGACCGGGCAGCCCTGCTACGAACACGTGGCCTGTCCGAGTCCCTGCCAAACGTGCTGTGTGCTCCCGAGGTTTCTGCTCTGGCTGGAAGGACATGGCAGTCCCCCAGCCCTGTGTGAGTGGTGGCAGTTGCTCCTGGTGGCTGTCTTCATCGAGGCCTTTCAGAGTCTCACGCTGCACGCGTGCTGCTATTTCCTGCACAGCCGGGGACTCTGGCTCCCTCCCCATTTCTAGAGCTCTTCCTCTGTAGCTCCCACCTGTCTAGGGCTGCCCCCCAAATGCTCGCCCCCCCCCAGCCTCCTCTGATCAGTAAGGCTGCCGGGCTGGCGTGGCCTCTCCCCGTCTGCACCAGCATGGTGTCCGGCAGGTAGCGGGTGGATGTTTGGTCGAGGTAAACTAATCTCAGAAATGTGTATAATGTGGAATGTTGTACAGAGCTGACTCAAGGGAGAGGGTAGTTGTAGCCTCTCCCAAGTGGATGTGCTTTCCAGGCCACTGTCTGAAGTTTCCAGCACCGCCGGCCGGCGCAGGTGGCCTTTACTGCCCCGAAGCCTCCTCTGCCGTGTTCTTAGGCTCTCTTCCTCGTGCTCTAGTACGGCTGCCCCCGCTCCAGCCTTCCCGCCCGTCGGCAGCGAAGACGGGGTCGGTGGGGAGGAGCAGGGTGCTTCCCAGAAGCTGCATATGCCGCTTCCATCTCCGTCCCATCGCTCAGGCCTCAGGCACTGAGTGACTGCGCTCGCCTGCCAGGGATGCAGAGACATGTTGTGTTCCCGCCTCACTAATGTCTCTTACTGAGAAGAGGAGAGTGGCTATTGAACAGAGACTATAGCAACCTCAGCCAAGTTAGCGAACAAGGTGGGAGGTGAGGTGAGAGGCAGCTGCCGGCTCACGTAGCGCCTCATGCCTGAGGAATGGTTCGGAGTAGTTCTCAGTGCAGGGGGCACCATGGGACAGGGCTTTAGGCCCTCGACAGCTGCCTCTCCTGAGGGACGAGCAGGCCCTCGTGGTCAAGAATGGAAGCGGGGAGAGCCATGCAGAAGCCTTGCCATGATGTGGACCAGAGATCGTGGTGGTGGGAGAGCATGCGGCAGTGTGGAGGGGGGCCTCCGCAGGCCACCCGGGTGCCGCCTCCCACCATATCAGGGGAGGGCTCAAGGAAGAGCAGCCCTGGGGCAGAGCCCACGGGCCCAGTTTGCACCTGTTGAGTTGGAGATGCCCCAGGGCTCCGGTGGGCTGTGTGGAGCAGGCGGTTGAATGTATGAGTTTGGATCCCAAGGGAGAAGCCACACCTGGAGATAAAATGCAGATTCCAGCAGAGAGCTCAGTGTGTTTGCAGAAGTGGGTTCTTGGGGGTACCCCACGGCACAGGGCGCGCGGACTGCGCCAGCAGCGTTTGCTTCCTTTCTCGCTGGCTGCCCGGAGCCATGGCGGCCTTTCCTCTGGCCACATCCGTCTGCTGGTCTTGTCCTGTGCCAGTCCCACTGCCTGTCAGCTGCTACCCTCTGCTGCCCGTTCGTGCCCTTAAGGGCACCTCCAGCTCCTCTGGAACTGGGTTCTCCTTTCCTCACAGTGTCAGGGACAGGGCTGTCTCACGAGCACCTTTCAGCATTGGCCCTGCGTCAGACTGTCCCCGTGAAGTCAGGGTTGGCGAGGCTGCAGGGAGCCACCACGCTGCTCAGAACACCCCCGCTCTGCGACTGTGTGACAGCGTGCTCCCTCTGGAGCGGGCGCTGGTGGTCGTGACACCAGCTGTCCTTGTTGAGGGGACACGGGGACCATATGAACAGGGCTCTGCAGCGGAGCCTTCAGTGTTTGAGGAGAGTGGCCCCTGGTGAAGAGCCCCAGATGGTGGGTTTATCACTTGCCCCACGTGTGACTGACTGCACACGCTTCCTCTCCTGCCCCAGGTGAGCCCCTGGTCAGTGCGACGCCGAAGTCCTGCCGGGCCCAGAGACCGCAGTCCTGCACGTCGGCGGGGAGGTGAGGAGTCACCGTGTCCTTTGATTTTACACCACTCTGAGAAGGAAGCTGCTCGTCTCTCCGAGCTTTCTCAAGCATGCGTGTGGTACCCCACAGCCTGGCCCCACTAGCCTGAGCCCTGGTCTGTTGGGGTGTGGCCTGGGCTCCCGAGGGCAAGTGTCACTTCCGCCCACCCCGCAATAGTCGCAGACTTGCCATCTGTGGTGTAGCGTGCCAACTCGCAGGCCTGACCTGGTGGCAGAAACGTCCGCCCCCACTGTTGTAAAAGGGGGCTCTCATTTGTGTCGTGGGTGCAAACCCTCGGTGTGGTGGTGTTAGTCAGACTTGGTTTTGAATCCCGGCTCCACTGTCCCTGGTCTGTGACCCAGTGCAGGTTCCTGGACAGTCCTGACCTCGTTTCCTCAGCTGTGCAGTGGGGACGGGGCACACTCAGCACAGCAGATCCTGCAAACACTAAGAACACACGCGCGCACACACGCATGCGGGGCCCAGGCCAGTGACCGTCCTCCCCCTGCCACCCTTTACTGCCATCTGCTGGGGTCAGAGGGCCCTTTCTGATGGCCTGGCCCCAGCGCGGCCGTGGGCACTCTGTCCCAGGGCAGGACGCTGTCCCAGCACTGCCCCACTCTGCGCACATCCACTGCGAGCAGAGGCGGAAGTGAGGACGCTCGCCCAGGGGAGCAGTGTTTCCAGGGCCTGCGTGCAGCCAGGATGGGAGTGCTGCTTTGCACGTGGCTGGGCTGGGCTGGGATAGGATAGGTGGTAAGACAAGCGATGACTCAGACACCTGAGCAGGGGCCCTAATCCCGGCCCTGCCACAGGCCAGCCTGCGCCATCTGCGAGTCTTTCCTTGACCCCGGCCTTTCATTTACTTGAGTGTGGACTTGGGAGGTGCTTCATGGGTTGGGCGGATGCCTCCCCTTACAGCATTAGCCATGCTGTGAGTCTTTCCCTTCACACCCATAGCCAGACGGCTGCAGCCAGCCTCACTTTAGCCCTGTCCCTCGGTCCTCCACCTGTGCAACAGGACAGTAGTTCCTGCCTCCCAGGGTTACTCTGAAGATTACATTTGTTTGCATTTTTATCTGTTCTCACTGAAGTTCAGCAGTAAAGGGAGTAAGGCAGTGGTTCCAGAACTGCAGAGAGTGGCTGCTTGGCTTGAGAGCACCCCACCCTCCTGCTGGTGCCCGTGGAGTGATCCAGTTTTCCAGTTAATGTTAATTAAAGTTTGTTTTCAGACTCTTTCTGAAGCACGTAAAGATTGTCCTTGATGGATGGTGTGTCACCCGCAGCCCTCCTGCGGGCTGCACGTTGGGATGGCCTTGGCTTGTTTATTTTAAAATAGCAGCTGGCTCCACACAGATGGGCAGGATTCACTGGCCGTCGAAGCCACGTGTATTGCCAAGGTTGGAAGGAGGGAGGTGTGAGAAATCAGCAGCAGCTACCCTGATTCATTCATGTGTGCTCACGTGTGATTCGGGGTGCTCTTACCACTGGGAATGAGCGGACAGGCTCGTGAGCCCAGGCTAGGCCCCAGTGTGGGTCTGCATTTCCTTCTGCAAATACCTACCCCATCAGAAGGTGACTTCTAGATGTCCTCTGAACCTCCCACGCTGCGCGTCTGCACGGCACCACCTGGAAGGTGCCATCACGTTTGGTGGTGTGGAGAGGCCACTCGTTGAGGAACCAGAAGCCCACACCAGGGCCTCCTAGGGGGCTGGGGCAGCCCTTCCTTCCCAGAGCAGACCTCCAACAGGCTTGGTGGGCTTGAATCTTTTATCTCTTATGTTGAAATCATAGGACTTTTTACTTCATTAGCATATTGGCTGAATGGATTTTTGTTTTGTTTTGTTTTGTTTTGTTTTTAGTCATGTCTGCTGAAGACTCCAATTTTGTTTCTCCAGGTTTGTTGTCCATAGCACTCCTGCTAGACGCTCATCAGTGGCAGCCCCACAGAGCCTTGTAAGCAGTACGAGGACCCCCATGAGTACGAAGCACGTGTCAGCCCTGCCCACACCTGCCAGCCGTCGGCTCTCTGGCCTTCCATTCGTGACCCCTAAAACCGTGCCCAGAGCTCTGGCTTCGCCTCTGTGTGTGCCTGCTCGGCGGCTTTCTTCTGAGCCGCAGAAAAAGTCTTCAGTGAGGTAAGAGGTAGAGGCTGCAATAAGTTTGTCTTGGATTCCTAAGACCCCAGGTGATTCTTACACTGGAAAGCCTGCCTGGTCTGGTGGGTGAGTCACTTGTCGGGAACCAGCCGGGCCGAGGTTCATCACATCTGCTCAGCAACGGCCACAGGAGCCTGTCAGTGGCCCTCTGAAGTGAGGGAGGGCACTTGCTTGATCCGTCATCATAGTCCCCACTGAGCGTTCTATCCCAGGTGGGCTGCTGAGCTGGGCAAGGCGGGAGAGCGTCTGCCTCAATCCCTTGTCTCTGTGGGCCACAGCCTCTCACTGGGAGGAGCCCTTTGGACAGAGGGCTCCGTAAGGTGCGCTCACATCCAGAGCTCTGGGGTCTGGTGTGGTCTTTGTGACTGGGTCCCTGGGAGAGTCCTGCGGTCGCTGTTGGTCAGAGCTGTCACAGATGGGGCTGGAACGCTGCACTTCACGCCTCCTCCAAAACTAGAATCCTAGCCCAACAAGCTAAGACGGACAGAAGTCCCCTCCTAAGATTTCCCATTTTTCTGTCTGGCAGAGCTGCACCAACGAGGGAGACCCACAGCAAGGCTACCTCTAGGCGCGAGGACTCGTCTCCTGACGGGTCCCTTTCCCCTCTGTCGGCTGTACCACAGGCGCTTAACTTTTCTCCAGAAAAGACTGGCTTGACTCTTTCAGGAAGTATCAGCACAGAAGTCGTGCTGGATGCAGCCCAGCCACCTGGAGACACACCCACTAGTGAGGTACATCTATTACCCTGGATAAGCGGACCCTGCCCCCGCCGCGGGCTGACTCGGCACGGTGGTCCCCAGAGTCGCTCTCCCGGACTTGGTCCGTCGTGCTCGGGGCCTCCGGGGCCAGCCGTGCCAGAGAGAGGGAGTGAGGACCCCCAGCCTGCAGCAGGCACAGAAGCCACACCCCTGCCCTGTGTCTGACCAGAGAGGGCCGGGGCTCAGAGGACGGGAAGTAGGAAGCAGGGCAGCAGTGGGAGCCTCGGTGGGAGCTCCTGTGTGGGCTGCAGGCCGGAGGGAGGTGGATGGGCTGGGGCTGTGTGGAGGCGGCCAGAGAAGAGAGAACTCAGCATGGGCACACACAGCCAGCAGCCCGCTAAGGCCCATCCTTCCCTGGGGTTCCTATGTTTCCTCAACATGGTTGACAAAAAGATGCTAGAACTGCTTTTAAGTCTTGGGTTCTTGTCTAGGCTATTCTCGTGGATATCAAACTGGACCAACTGGTCATCACTCCAAAAGCTGAAAGCACAGCCCTCATCGACATCCCTCTCATTGACTTTTGCAATAGTCCAGAAGCACACGTGGCTCTGGGGTCTGAGAGTAGACCTCTGATTGACCTGCTGATAAACACTCCAGACATGAACAGAAACACTGCGTCCAAGCCTCCCCAGGAGGTGGGACAGGTGAGGAGCAGCAGGAAGCTCCGTGGTGGCCTTGTCTTGGGTGGGCTCCGTTCTGGGTTTGTTCCTCATCCCAGGGTGCCTCATGGTGACCCTCGAGAGTGGCCAGGGAAGTTTCCAAAGTGACACGGCCCAGGGCACACTCCACTGGTAGCATGAGCATGGAATTCACCAAGTCCTGCTGTGGGATCCTGCCCGGGAAGCCCGGGGCTCTCTGAGGGCGGGTGTCACATCGCCGCCACTCCAGGGTCCCCCCGTGCCTATTGTGTGACGAGGGAACTCCGACTTCTTTCGTGTGGCACTTCCTCCGTCCATCTGCTTAGACAGGACGGCTGCAATGTCCCTGTGCCCAAGCGGTTGGTAGCACGGAGCCGTGGCCCGGAGGACTCAAGGGCAGCCGGGTCTTCAGGGAGCCGACGGGCTGTGAGGGGCAATGTGGCCACGCTGCTCACCTCCTGTCGCTTCTCTCTTGCAGCTGATAGACTTGGCTTCTCCTCTGATCCAGCTGAGTCCCGAGGCTGACAAGGAAAACATGGATTCTCCACTTCTCAAGTTCTGAGGAGAATACAGTCCTTTGTGTTTCATTATTTCTAAAAGAACTGTCAGTCCTAAGGTGGTTTTCAACCCTTAGAAATAAATTTTAGGAGAAGTTGTTTTGGGGGAAAAAACAACCCTCAGTGAAGGTCCCATGCCTGGAGGGGGTGCTGCAGGACTGGGGGTGTTTGGGGCCCCGAGGCCACTGGTGCCGGTCAGCTTCCCTCTGTGCTGCCCCAAGCTGCCCCGAGCACTGGGCTGGAGCGTGGAGTTGCAGTCGCTCCAGGTGAAGAATTTTGAATCTTCTGTATGTAAAATAGCAAGTGACTGTTTTTAAAATTAAGTTTGTATGAAAAGTTAAATAATTCTAGATTTAAATTAAATTGTAAAATAAATGAAAATGTATTAAAACACAGCTTGGTTTTTAAGGTTATCTTGATTTTCAAACATGTGTAGCTATTTTTATTACTATCAGATTTAAGTTATCCAAACTATTTTTTTTTTTAAGATTTTATTTATTTGTCAGAGAGAGCACAAGCAGGGGGAGCGGCAGAGGCAGAGGGAGAAGCAGGTCATAACCTGAGCTGAAGGCAGACGCTTAACCAACTGAGCCACCCAGGCACCCCCTAATTTAATATTTTCTAAAACTTAGCTGGCTTGGAAGCCGCTGATCTGTATAGATACCTCATTTCTATAGTATAGAAATGTACAGAAATGTATAGAAAATTTCTCAGTCCTAGTTCAGTGGCCTCACAGCAGACAGTAGTCATGGGACCTGCTTTTTTGGGCTCCCATCTGGTGTTTCCTGGCCGAGACCAGGAAACCTAGGTCCACAGAGCGCTGAGGGAAGCAAGCCGGGGGCTGTGCTTTGAGCTTTCTTTGGTTAAGGCCTCAAATGGAAAGGTGATTCCTATGCTATCTAGAAAAGGCAAGCATTTCACCTGCAGAGAAAAGCTTCACATTTAAAGGCAGGAATGCTTGCGAGTATGAGTGCTGACTCTGGAAGCAGGGCGCCTTGCTCAAGGTACACTCCCTGGCCAGCGGAGCAGAGAACCGACCGGAATCACAGCGGCCCACTCCTCCCTCGTCTCTGTTCCTGTGGGCAGCAAGAATGTTAGAATCCAATATTAATGCAAGGGTCCTCTGATGTCTGGTGTGGCCCCTCAGTTCACAGGGGAAAACCCCAAACCTTGAATTGAATTGATTCATTCACACGTTATTTACGTTTTATTTATTCATTTTTAAGTAATCTCCACACCCAGTATGGGGCTGGAACTAATGACCCCGAGACCAAGAATCGCACGCTCTTCTTACTGAGACAGCCAGGCGCCCTGCATATTGATGGAGATTAATATAGGCAGGCTGCATTTCTCCCAGGGATGCAGTAGGGAGCAAAGCTCATGCATCCCCCCCCTACCTTCTGGGGGCTTTACAGTTTGGTGGGAGGGAGGGACATTAAACTCTTAGCTAATATACGATCATTAAGTGGGGTTCTGGCCAACCCATCCAAACCGAGGGGATGAGCTGGGCCTTTGGGCCTTGGCCTGCTCCCTGGCTCTTCTCATCCAAGGCCCCTCCCCTCCCTTGGGCTGCCTCGGGAGCCACCAGGCTCTTCTTGGGGCTCAGGGGCATCACCCAATCCACAGGCACCCCCAGGCAGGACAGAAGTAATAATTCTATTAAAAAGACAGATGCTCTAGAGCTCCCTGAGTGCTGGCCATGTTCTCTGCACAGTGTGAGGTGACTTGGCGGCCACTGTAGGGCCACGCTCCCAGGTTTAAGAGGTCTGACTTCACGCCACTTTTACATATTTCATTAACCTCCTCGGGCACGTCTCTGAAATCTTATATCCCTGTTGGCACATGGCACCTGGGATGTCATTTTCCTTCTCATGGCTGAACCATCCAAAGTAGCTGAAATGCCAGATCTTTAACTGAAAAGCTGCAGAAAATGTTGCAAACGTGATCATGATTCCGCCACTGTGGGGGTGGGTTGCAGCATACCTAAACCCAAACCCCTTTGCTTAGGCAAGAAAACTGGACTTCCACCCTAACCTTGTACCAAACTGCCACACCCAGGAAGGGCATGGTCCTCTAGACTGAGCCAAAACGTCCAGTGGCCTCAACTCGGCCACTGCCAGACTCCACCAAAGGTTCACCCCCAAATTTGCTGTGTCTGCTCATCTCTTCTGGAAAGTGTGAAATGAAATAGATACTCTCGTTGGATGTTTTGTTGGATGATACTTTATTCTTCAGAAAAAGCTGTCATTCCCCTGCTTCCCCAGGGGGCCCTTGACCGTCCCTTCTGTCAGAGAGTTCACCCTGTACCCGCCCTTGGCACCAGCGGCCACGACTCTCTAGCTGGCAAGTCCTGCTTTTCTTCTCAGAAACGGAGACTTGGGGCCCTCCTCGTTTCTCTCCAGACCTTTACGGTCTTCCCATCCTCGGGAAAATGGCTTGCTTTAATAATTATCCATGTTTAAACATTTGGTCCACTGCCAGTCTACTAAGAAACTGTTAAGGAACTAGCACAGTTTTAACCTGAGGCTTCAGGGTGTGTGTGTTATTGGCCTGATTCCCATCTATTTGCATCTGCTGTGGCACCTCCTCCCTTGCACTTTCAAACCATGGTCCAAATTCTACATGAAATCAATCTAGTGGACTGCAGCAGTGGTTTTTAAAAATGAAAGAGAACCAAATGGAAAATAACAGAGTACATGGCACGCTGCAAATATAAAAACTGTTTAGAGAGGCTTCTTTTTATGCTTTCTATGTGTAGGTTGGTGTGTCCTCTGGGCCACCCTGTAAAATGTGACACTGGGTTTGAAGAAAGTTCAGAACTGATGACTTAAAGGATGCCTGATTTTGCTTGTGTGGACCACAGCTTCTGGTGTCAGCGCAAATCTCAGTCCTTTGGGCCCCGGGCACTCCTGATCTGAGTCGTGCCATCCCCTGCCTTGGCACTCCGCACTGACCACCCCTTCCCTCCCCCAGCCCCTCAGCCGGCAGGCTCTGCTCCGTCCAAGTTTCTTATCTGGGCCTCCTCCTTTGCTTTCATCACCTCCTACCTTCCCACTCTCTTTCTTTAGGCCCAGCGAACGTCTCCCGGTTCTGCTGTTCCCCTCCCGCGGAAACGTGCCTGCCCTTGGTCATCTGCCCCGCTGCCCGACGCGTGCGCTCCCGCGCGCGAGCGTTCAGGAACAGCCACATCTCCAGTTGGACGACGATGGCCCAAGGCACCTGACCCGCTGGAGCTGACCTGGCAGGCCACATCAAGTCCTCCACACTCTTTCTCATCCCCCCACATCCATTCCCGCAGGCAAGGGCTACAGAGTCGACCTGCAAATACACCCCTTCCCCACGTGGCTGTCACGGGCTGCTAACCAGGCTCCCAGCTCGTCCTCTGCACAGGGCAGCCAGGAAAATCTTTCGAAATTTAGATGTGATCATTTCGCTCCCCTGCTTAAAGGTCCCCTCTCCTAGAATCCAGCTCCTCGCCGCACACCCTCCGGGACGACCTCCGCAGCCTCGCGGGCGGTAAGCAGCTCCGCAAGCGCGCACCTAAGCAGACGCTGACCCCGCCCCCGAGCAGCGCACGCATCCGCAGCCGCGAGCCCGAGCGGAGGTCCGCGCGCAGGGGGCGTGGGCGGGGCCTCGGGAGCGGAAGCCCGGGCGGGGGCGGAGCGCCGCGCCCGATCGCACGTTTCCGGCTCGGCCGCGTCTGCGTCGCCGCGGCGGAGGCGGGACTTCCGGCGCGGCGCGGAAGCGGTGGCAGAGGCCGCGGGAGGTTGGTGGTGAGCTGATGCAGGCTGCGCGGCACGTCGTGGTCGCCCTGTCCGGCGGGGTGGACAGCGCCGTGGCCGCGCTACTGCTGAGGCGGAGAGGTGAGCGACCCCTTCTCGGGGACTACGGCCGCGCCCGGTTCCCCACGCAGTGGAGGGGGGCATCCCCGACTTTGGGGGCCCCGAGGCCCTCTGGCCGGGCTGACGGCGGCGGCGGGGTCTGCGCTGACCCCGGGGACGGTCCTGGTCCTGCCCGGGCCCGTGCGGCCGAAATGCCCACGGAACGTGCGTGCTCTCCGTTGACGGATGACACCCCTGGGCGGGAGCGCCAGCGTCCGTTCTAGGGGTCTGGAGAGTGCCTGGGGTCGGGAGCCTAGCTGAGCTCCGTTCTCCATGTGTGTGGTCGCTTCTCCTTGTGAGGCCGCCTCCACGGGGTGACATGTGGGCACCCTCCGCTGTGGACACCTGGAATGCAGGGGTGAATGAGAGGTTCCTGAGTTAGTTCAGCTCTCGTCTGTGAAGTGGAGGGAACCCCTGCCTCGCTGGGTTACTGGAAGGATTAGCTGACACGAGCCTACACAAGCTTTCATTCAGCCCTCTGTCCCAGTGCCTAGCACATACTAGGCCCTCCGAAAACAGTAGTGATTATTAGCTTTAAATAGAAATGTAGGCACACGGGGTGCCTGAGTGGCTTAGTCGGTTGAGCCTCCGACTCTTGATTCCTGCTGGGGTCATGGTCTCAGGGTCTTAGGATAGAGCCCGGCAAGGGCTCCGCACTCATCGGGGAGTCAGCTTGAGATTCTCTCTCTCCCTCTCCCTTCCTCCCCACCCACTCATGCGCGTGTGTGCGCTCTCACTCTCTCAAATCTTTTTTAAAAATGTAGGCACACTAAGCATCTATAACTTGAGAACGGGGAATCAAAGCATTACAGAGGGTGATGGTGTTTAAAGTGAGACTTGAAGGAAGAGTAGGATTTCACTAAGCAGAGAATTGGCGTGAGCTGTGGAGGAAAGTGCTCCTGGCAGAGTCAGCAGCTCGAGCAAAAGGTCAGAGGCACGCAAATGTTGGCTGGGTTCGGACAGAAGGAGGTGGCTGGAGAAAGGAGAAGAGTGATTATGGAAGATGTTATTTTAGGGACTTCAGGCTGTGTTGGGTAGACTGTGCAGAGCCCTTGAAGGTTCCTGATGATGTGTGTGACATGTTTCGAGAGATGTGGCAGACTAGCCGTGGGCAGACCAGGTATACTATGTTTACTCTACAGGAAGGTCAGCTGTCCCTTCTCCCCAGGATCCAGATGACCCCTCCGTATTCCAGCCTTCCCTGGGGTTTCCTCCTCAGCGGGGGAAGCTGATGGACTTAGCAAAGGAAAAGCGTGGTCCTCTCCTTGGCATCACGGGCTTCCCTAGTCTTGTTGGAGGTGCAGGTCCTATCCTGTGCCCCCTGGAAAGTTCAGGTCCCATCCTGGAGTGCCTGAGCCCGTGCCCATAAGTGGGTCCATCTCCATGAGAAGAAGGCTGAGGTTATAGAAGAGGAGATTTTTAAAGCTGTGTGTGGGGTTGTCTCTTCTACAAGGGACTTTTTAGCTCCTGTTCTGTGCAGGGCACTGGGACAGAGGTTGAATGAGGTGTAGTCCCTGCTCTCTGAAGAACTCCACGCTATCGTGAATTGCTGAAGGGGGCAGACTGGAACACCAAGCCCAGCAGAGCCCAGTGTGGCGGGCCTGTGAGAGAAGTGGAGTGGGGGAGGGCCTGATGAACTACTGGGGGTGGGGGGCGTGGTCTGGCAGAGCTTTGACTTTGCATCTCTGTTCTTTGGAGTACTCTGTTAAACCTCTTTAAAAAAACAAAAACACAAAACAAAACAAAAGCCTCTTAGTCAAATGTCTTTGCTTTTGTTACACTGAGCCTACCCATTAAGAAACATTTCTCAAACACTTTTCCCACAGGGTAGGCACCTGAGTGGTTCCCTAAGATGAGGCCAAGCTAACGTTGGTCTTTCCAGTATTTGGTTGGGTACTTTGTTATAATAGAAGAGGACCAAAAAAAAAGGTCATAAAGTATATAGTTAGTACAGCCTTTATAATAAAATAGCCCAGATTTTAATTGTCTTCTTGTCTGATGACTTAGAGTCTAAGTTCTAGATAATAATTGGAAACAGTCTTTGAAATTAGTTTACTTTTTTGATAACTGAATGGTGGTTTTTATTTGCTTTGAAAAATGTTAAATTTTTGCTCTTCTGTCATTCAGCACTCATTTGCTGAGCCTCTACTGCATGCTAGGCATTGTGTGGACACAGGGTGGGGATACAGAGATGAAAATACACCATCTTGCTCACCTGGGGGACACAGGCCAACAGTTGCAGTCCCGCAGTGCGCTGTGATGATGGAGGCATTTACAAGTGCTGTGGGAGCGTAGGGGAGGGAGCGTCTGGGCCAGCCAGCAAGTCAGGTGGCTTGCACTCGGATGTGAGTCACTCGGAAGGCCATGTAGCAAAGCAGGCATTGCCAGGTGAACCCAGCGGATGGTGGTGTGGGCATGGGGCGTGTCAGGGAACTGCTGGGAACTCAGCAACTGCTTTCACCCCGGGTTGATTATGGACTCCAATTCATGCCCCCTCATTCCCCCAGGCTACCAAGTGACAGGGGTGTTCATGAAGAACTGGGACACGCTGGATGAACATGGAGTTTGCACTGCTGACAGAGACTGTGAAGATGCTTATAGAGTTTGCCAGATCCTAGACATCCCTTTCCACCAAGTGTCCTATGTGAAGGAGTATTGGAATGACGTGTTCAGGTGGGTCCAGTTTGGAGACGCAGAAAGCTTCCTGATGTGCTGTGCCACCTTTCCAAGGGAAGGACTGCCATAGTTGGCTGGGCCAGTGACACGTGGCCAGTGCTGTTTGGCAGTGGTGCCGGAGACCGTGTATGGGAGATCCCAGAGCACCTGGCCTCATATTTCCTTATGGTGCCACCTGCTAGAAGTCTCCTTAATCCCTTCATGAACCTTGAGTTGTTCCTGCTGCTAACTTTGGGTGTGGGAACTAAGGCTGAGGTCTTCCCTGAGAGGTGCCACGCAGTGATGCCTGTGCGGGTCAGTGATGAGGGGCTTCTGGGAAAAAGAATTAGGTGAGGCACCCCTCCTTGGTGCCTCATGAAAACATGAAACACAAAGACTTTAAAATGTAACAAATATCAACGGTGATCTTTTAAGTGCTTGCTCTGTACTGGGCACAGTGCTGCGTTTGGGGACATAAAGGCGTATAAGCTGCGGCTCCATTCTGCAGGGGTTTGCAGCCTGGGGGGAGGAGGACATTACCTTCAAAAGAGGTAACGGTGAGCGGCATGTAAGACGTACTAGTGATTTCATTGAAATGCTGCAGGTTCAGAGGAGGGAGAAATGTGTCATATGGAGCAGTCAGGAGGGCTTCATGGAAGAGGTGAAGATGGATCTACTCTTGAAAATAATAGTGAAGTAGAGATTTTCTAAACGGGATAGCAAGAGCAGTGGTGAAGAGGAGGAGAAATGCCCATCACTTTGGGGGGAACATTGACAGCTTCGGCTGGACTCTTGTCACTGCGGAGGAAGGCTGCTCGCGCTGGGGTATGAGGAGCCCAACTAGGCTCTGCCCGGGGGGTGTCCATCGAAGGTGTCCCGGGCAGCAGCGATGTGCACAGGTGTGGGGTAGGCTCTAGCCTCAGGAAATCCATGCGTCCAGTCTTGATCCTGCTACTTACTGCATGACCTTGGGCGATGCCCTTGGCTTTCTAAGCCTTTTTTCTCATCTCTTTAACGAGGATATTGCCTCATGGGGTTGTCTTAAGAATGAGGTGAGACATAAAGCTGTCAGCACTGGTGCCTGGCTTATTAGTAAGCAATAAACGTAGCTCTTGTGATTTGTATTATTGAAAAGAGCGATCTGGTAGCCAAGTGTAGGGTAAATTATGGGAGAAGATTGGAGGTGGAGAACCTAGGGAAAAGCTGCTGCTAGAGGGTGGGGATGACGGGAGTGTGGAGTGGGGGTGAGGGCTGGCTGTGGCGGGCCCCAGAGGACAGACCCCTTGGCAGCAGATGTCAGGCTGAAGAGGCGGCTGGGGTGCTTGTGGAACACCCACCTGCACGGGGCCTGGGATGTCGGCCCTGGAACCTGCACTTCCGTTCATTCTGGTGGGGGATCCGCCGGGTCTTTGGAAACGGTGCCGTGGGGCTTGGTGACTGACGGGTGTAGGAGTGGTAGAGAGAGGAGTCAGGGATAGCTTCACCGTCAAATCTGGGTGGGTGGGGAAAGCTGCTTCGGGAATTCCTTTGAGTACTTCAGGGTTTAAGGTGATAGCAAGAAATCCAGGCGAATTTAAACTTCACCCTCTATTGCTAGGTTTGGAAAGTGTGTGAGCGAATGTGATCTTTTGGAAGTTAACTCACATTCAACTGAGGCCAGGCAGGCTCTGGCCAGTCTGCCCTCTGCCCTAGTTTCGTCCTGGTTGCCTGTGGGGATGGTTGTGATGGTGCTTTTTGTTCTGAACGCTCACCGCTCTGTTTTGTTTTGTTTTTAACATTTATTTGAGAGAGAGCATGAGCCGTGGGGGAGGGCAAAAGGAGAGGGAGAAGCAGACTCCCCGCTGAGCAGGGAGCGCGATGCGGGGCTTGATCCCAGGACCCTGAGATTATGACCTGAGCTAAAAGCGGACACTTTACTGACTGAGCCACCCAGGCGCCCCTGAATGCTCACCGCTCTGATAGCACTTTCTCGCTCCGAGATTTCTTCTGAATTCTTTTGTTCAAGGCCCATTTGGCCTTCAGGGGTCAGAGTGCAGATGTTCTTTCTGCTTGCCGTCTCCCTCCTGCGCTGCAGATGGGATTTGTCCCCTCACCAAACAGGCTGTGCTCCGTGGTTTTCACTGATGCCACTGACCTGTCTTCATTAAGCCGTCCGGGAAATGGTTGACATGATTTTCATAAGCCAGTGGCAACTTTCAACCTCTTTAACATTCATTCAGCGCTTGTTACGTATAAAACGTTCTGGGGGCTGCGGACACACAGAAAGAGTAAAGCAAGGGTTTAATGAAACTCTTGACAATTTTCTAACAGTTAAAAAGTTTAAATGTGGAGTAACACAATTGTTCTCCCTTCCTGGGAGGACCAAGAGGTGGTAGGGACAGTTTGGCATTGCCTGCTGGAGTTAAAGATACATGTGTGACCTATGACCCTATGCCGATTCTTGGTCTGTTTTCATAATGTGACCCTCTTGGTCAGCGTTGTTCTTTGTCACCATTGTAGTGCTTTAGGTTCAATGAAAAATGATCACAGATACTCAAAATACATCCTGTAACTTTTTTTTTGAAAAGATTTTATTTTGAAGTAATCTCTACATCCACTCAAAGCTCAAACCCATTACCCCGAGATCGAGAGTCGCCTGATCCTCCAACTTTAATACTTTAAACTCCCCTTTAATACTCACTTTAAACCCCTGGAACAATCATCATAATCCTCCTAAAGTGAATACTCTGAGACCATGAACTTCTTGCCTAACCATCCTTCTCCTATGTCCAGTCAGCCAGCCCGTTAGAGCAGAGTTGGGTCAGCTAGGCTGCCTGATGCCCTGAAAACATCCAGACGTTGCTGGTCCTTAGAAGTATGGGAGTCACATTAGAAAAGTATCCATACCAGTACTGGTACATTTATTCGCCCAGTGACCTGGGTCCCCAGGCTGAGATTGTGGAATAGCTAGTAGAGCCCCAAAATGGTGGCTCAGGGTCATAGGGTTCCTGCTCTGACTCCGGCATGTTCTTCACCCAAGCCTTCCTCTGTTGGTGGAGTTAAGGGAAGCTGGAGTTGAGTGAGTCCGTCCCATCCCTTCCCCTCACACCCTGTGAGCCTCTGGGGAGACGGAACGGCTGTGGAGCCGGAATGGCAGATGATACCTGGCTTTCTATTCAGCTTTGTCCGTTATCATAGATTCAGATGGAAAGGGCGGCTGGCTTTACACGAATGCTTGAAAACACTGACATGGCTGTCTAATGAAGCTCCCCCGTTTTATAGAAAATTGTAGCTCTGGTAAGACAGGGAGAAGCTAACTTCAAGTAATTTAACCGATTTATTTTTAAAGATTTTATTTATTGGAGGGGCACCTGGGTGGCTCAGTCATTAAGCGTCTGCCTTTGGCTCAGGTCATGATCCCGGAGTCCTGGGATCAAGCCCCGCATTGAGCTCCCTGCTCCGCAGAAGCCTGCTTCTCCCTCTGCCACGCCCCCTGCTTGTGTTTGCTCTCTCGCTGTGTCTCTCTCTGTCAAATAAATAAATCTTTAAAAAAAAAAAGATTTTATTTGAGAGAAAGAATGTGAGCTCAAGCTGGGTGGGGGGGAGGGGCGAAGGGGGGGCGGAGAGAGAGAGAGAGAGAGAGAATCTCAAGCAGACTCCGTGCCAAGCGCAGAGTCAGACACGGGGCTCAGTCCCACAACCCCAAGATCACGACCTGAGCCGAAATCCAGAGCTAGACACTCAACTGGTTGAGCCACCCAGGTGCCCCTACGGATTTATTTTTTTGAGGAATGTCTCACACTTAGGAATGAAAATCTTTTTCTTCTATTCCAGTGATTTCTTAAGTGAATATGAAAAAGGAAGGACTCCCAATCCTGACATAGTCTGCAACAAGCACATCAAGTTCAGTTGTTTTTTCCATTATGCTGTGGATAATCTCGGTAAGTCATTTTGTTATTTCCATTTAATCTTTTTAAAATCATAAGGTTTTCAGAGATAGCCAGGGGCCAAATGCTGGTAAACAGTTTCATCTTCAGAAGGAAAAGAAGCAGTGAAAACGATCATATTCTGTATTTTCCTGAGTAAGAAAGAATTTTCTGACAATATGCAAATGACAGGGTCACAGGGAGGAGGGAGTGTTTCCTCATCATGGACCTCCCAGGTGTCGGGACTGTGCTGTAGGTTCAGGAGCACCAAGTTCAGAACATCCTGAGGAAACAAAGGGGTCACGGGCAGAGAGCCCAAAGTGGGGCCACCAGGGCTTGCCTGCAGGTCCAGCTTTGCCCAGAGCAGCTCCATTTCCTGGCAGAGTTATATTTAGTGGAAGTTTCACGAGCCCTATTTAGAGCTCAGGAAAGTCGGCATTCAGTTTCTTACGAGTCATCCTTTTGGCTTTTTATCTTGCTTCCCAAGGTGACTTTCTGCTCTGCCCCGAGAACAGGTCTGGGTCTGTACTTGATTCTGGATTCTGGGCCTCTCTTTCCCAGGATTTGAAGCCATGGTTTAGTGGTCTGTTCTTTTTCTTTTTTATTTTTTTTTTAAGATTTTATTTATTTGAGAGTGAGAAAGCATGAGTGGAGGTGAGGGGCAGAGCGAGATGGAGAAGCAGGCTTCCTGCGGAGCAAGGAGCCAGATGCGGGGCTCGATCCCAGGACCCTGAGATCAGGACCTGAGCTGGAGGCAGACACTTCACTGGCTGAGCCCCCCCCCCCCGCCCCTGGTGCCCCTAGTGGTCTGTTCTCAAAGCCCATCGAGGCCCTGCTCCCTACTGACAGCTACCTGCAGATTTTGTCTGTCCTGCTGGTTCTCTCTCCTCTCTCTCTGCCTGCTGGGGCATCCCTGTCTTTGGTGGGGCTCCCTGACGCTGCCTCGCTCGCTGCTCTGTCCGGTCAGCTCTGCTGCAGTGACCGAGGCAGGCCCCCACTAGGCCTGCAGACCCCGGGCATAAGGGCCCTGCCGTTGGGGAGGGGACACGCTGGGCCACAGACCACATTGACACCTGCCAGACAAAGGCTCCAGAAGTCTGGGTGCATTTGAATGACTGACCCCAGAACTGAGCATTGGTAGAGGTCATACTCCGAGGGAGGTCGTACTCCGAGCTTGGGGAGCAGATCTGGGGGTCCAGCTGCCTGCAGTCTGGCATGACCTGGTGGTCGGGGGTGTCGGGAAGGAAAGACACCTGCCCTGCTCTGGGGGGCCACGTCTGGGGGGCTTACACTTAGCTCCCATTTATTCAGGAAGGGAGTGACAGGCTCATGACTTGGGCAGTGATTTTGGTTTTGGGTGTTAGGAGACAGGACCTCGGATGAGCCGTGCGATTACTGGGGGTCCTCGTGCCTGGCGAGTGGCCTCCTTTGCGTGCCTGCCACGCAGGGCAGAGCCTGGCTGTGCAGGAGGAGGACTGCACTTGGATGGGGCTCAGCCAGCTCTGCGGGAGGGGGTGACACCTCCCTCTGGAGAGAGAGGGGCTCCCGGTTGCCTTAGCTTCTCAGGGAGCCAGCCCTAGGTGGCCGTCTGTTGGGTTTGCTTCGGAAGGAGTTTGTACAGGGAGTGTTTCCACGTCTGAATTCCCGCATGAGCAGTGCAGCATGGAGTGAAAGTACATGAAACCCAGACTCTGAGATCTTGGGGCTTCTCCCAGAGGGACTCAGTGCTTGGCAGTGTAAGTGGTCGTTCTTTAAGGAAATAGATTTAAGGAGGGTTTTTTTTTTTTCTCTCTCTGAAAAGCAATCAAGATACAATAATGTGTTCCCAAATGTGCTTTTTCTGGTAGTTCATACACAACAGTTAATTTTTTTTTTTTTTAACCTTCCCAGTAAGAATTTGCCTCAGGGTGGGGAATGCATATGGCAAACGGGAGAGCCCACTCCTGTGCAGAGGTGGTTTCTGCTTGTTTCAGCTGTGGCTGATGGCTTCCATGTCAGACCAGTATTACTAGAACTTCCCTTTTTGTGTTTGTTTTTTTAATAGGTAAAACCTTTATTTCATTTTTTTTTTTTTTTTTTTTAAGTAAGCCTCTACGTCCAACGTGGGGCTTGAACTCATGACCCCAAGATTAGGACGCACACGCTCCTCCAACTGAGCCAGCCAGGCGCCCTCAGCAGTTAATTTTCGTTGCATCTTTTGTCATACACTGAGCTAGTCTAGTGGGTGAGGCACAGACTCCGTTTGTTGCCCCTTCCAGGAACAAGTCTCTTGCAATACTGAATATCTGAAATGTTCGCACAGGGAAAGGTTATGAGCTTATATGTGCCTTCGTAGGTTCTTTCGCTTTTTTGCATAAAGGGGAGAGAAGAAATGGAGTATGCTGGATGGTCCTTCACTGTGGTGGAAATAATGTGTGTTTATTAGAGAAAGTTCAAAATGACAGCAGAGGGAAAATAGGGAGATACCGCCTATCATTTCACTTCCCAGAATCAAAGAAATGGGCTTTTTCATATTTTTCTTAATCTTTTTCTGTACATCAAAAAAAGTGGGATTGTAGTGTTATGTATTTTTTTCCCTACTTAACAACATCGTGAAAAATTCCTCGTAAGTGGTACTGTTCTTAGGGCAGTGGCATTTTAACTTTATGTTCTCCAGGTGGTGAACATTTTGGTGTTCTCAATTTTCCTTAGTATAGGAAACACTGAAATGAGCTTTTTACACTTAAATCTTTGTGTGCATATTTGTTTCCTTAAGCTAGAGTGAATGAGTGGATGGATACTAACTTTGAAGGGATCATAAAGCTGCAGTGAAACCTTGTAGCGAGGTTGTATCCGTGTATATGGAGAGTTCAAGGTCACCTGTTGATCAGAATGTTGGGGGCGGCTTCCACGCCCTGGACCTCTGTATTTGAGAGGGAGCTGGACAGTCGGTGCGGGCCATCCAGTACAAGGCTTGGTGTCTGCCCGCTTCTGAGAGCTCCCGAGGCCCGAGGTGGCCACAGCCACACGTGCAGGTCTGAAGCTTGATCTTGTGTTTTTAAAAACCTGACAGGAGCAGACGCCGTCGCCACAGGTCACTACGCCAGAACCTCACTGGAGGATGAGGAAGTCTTTCAGCAGAAGCACATGAGGAGGCCAGAAGGGCTTTTCAGAAATCGATTTGAAGTTAGAAATGGTAAGTTAGAGCACCTGGGTCAGACCTTCAGGATTGGTGCACAAAGGAGACTGCTTTGGAGTGTGGCAGTGGGTCCTTGTCTGAGCGCTCCCTCTGCGTCTGTGTCTTCCACACTAGCTTGCTGGTTTTGAAAACTACAGTTACCAGGAGGGCCACCTCCCCGTAGAGCCTGTTGGAACCTGCATCTATGATTTCTAACCCAGCTCCTTACAGTCTGCTACTCACTCAAAGGTTCCTATGGTATTTGAGGACATAGTTGTTGATAGTTGGAGTGCTCACAGGCCTTGTCGCTTACCATCAAGTTCTTGAGGGCTCGACACTGAGGTGTATGTACTTCAGTGTGACCCAGTTGCCGGGGCCTGACATTCAGGCCTACTGGAAAACATGTTTACAGAGATTATGGATACAAATCAGTTTATCGGTGTTAGAGGGAGTCAAGTTTCACCTTTCTAGAAAAATGCCCAGCTGTCAGCAGGGATGCTGCTGGCTTGTCTGGTGTACATTTGTGTGTAGAAGAGAGGAATTCACATCATTGTGAAGGGAGCTCAGAGCCACGTCTGAGCAAGGAGTTTCCATTGTTGTGGGATCGCCAGAGGGTTGGCCTGCTGACCGCCTGCCTCATGGCACCTGCCCCTCTCCCCTGAGCACGGCTGTGACAGGCACGTGTTCTGCTTGGCCCATCTGAGCGTGGAGCTGGATGCACTCGCCCCACTTCACAGGTGAGGGGACTGAGGCGTGGAGTCATTTGATTGGGCTCCATGCGGCCATAGAGCTGGCTCTCAGCCCAGTTCGGCCCAGCTCCATAGTTGTGCCCTTTCTGCTGGGCCAGGCCCCAGTCAAGTTCTGTCCTCCATGTCACTAAGCCTGGTCGTGCAGTCCGCTGTGTTGCGGGAGCCCTGAGGGTGCTGCAGGCGCTCGGCTGCCCAGGTCTCGTCCCCACCCCTGTTTTCACAGCAGAGGGTGCTCAGATAACCTTCCCGCCTTGAGCACAGACAAGGACAGTGCTTGCTTGGTGGGAAGATCTCCCTCCGCTGCCTGTGGGGCGCTGGGCCCTTAGCTGCCGGGCTTGCCGCCAGGGCCTCAGGGACAGATGCAGGGAGAGAGGACAGGTTTCCTCGGCCTCCCTCCCGGGTGATCCCGGGGGCCACCTCTCCGTGTCGGGCAGGATGCAGAGTCCTGCCACTTGAGAACTCCGCAGCAGGATGCACCAAGTAAATACGGATTTAAGGGTCCTGAGTGGCTAAAGGATTTATTTCCATATTGAATAGACATGCTTATCTCCTAGAAAATGGTTTGCTTTCCAGAGCTGTCTGGACCTTTATGCTAGGCCGTAGGTGCTCTGAAACTTCTCTGATCGCATTGACGGATGTTTTGTTGAGTCATTTTAACGTGTAGTTGTGGTAGTAATACAACAGTGTCTTTGGTTTCAGCATGTTTTCTAGGCACACGAGAGCTTTTTATTCACTTCTTACTTAGTTACGCTAGAGACCTGGACTAGGGCCTCCCGGCCTGGGCCTGGATCCCTGGGCAGAGGGCAGGCGGGGCAGTGCACACGGGGCAGCACAGAGTCCGCCTGGGTTGGTCGGCGCTCCTGGGCCCCGGCCTGGCGGCCTAGTCAGGCTCACCCTGACTAGGGTGTGTGAAGGGGGCGCGGCACCGACCTGACCGCGGACGGAGCTGTGAGGGTGTGTGAATGAAGCCCCCGGAGCATGTTCCTTTCCATGGTTTAAGATTGCCAGCCTCCTGGGGCGCCTGGGTGGCTCAGTCGTTACGCGTCTACCTTCGGCTCAGGTCATGATCCCAGGACGCTGGGATCGAGCCCCACATCGGGCTCCCTGCTCGGCGGGAAGCCTGCTTCTCCCTCTCCCACTCCCCCTGCTTGTGTTCCTGCTCTTCCTAACTCTTTGTCAAATAAATAAAATCTTTAAAAAAAAAAAAAAAGATTGCCGGCCTCTTTAAAAAAAAAAAAGATTTTGAGTCTGTTTTATTTATTTATATTTATGTATTTTTTAAAGATTTTATTTGAGAGAGAGAGAGACAAATAGCAACAGAGATGGAGAGTGAGCATGAATGGGAGCAGAGGAGAAGCAGAGCCCGACGTGGGGCCCGATCCCAGGACCCTGAGATCACGACCTGAGCCGAAGGCAGACGCTTCACTGACTGAACCGCCGAGACGCCCTAGATTTGGAGTCTGTTTTAAACTGTGTCCTGAGGCCTCCATGCGTGCTGCTTGACTGGGCTTCCTTTTGAAACAAAAAATAGTGTTGGGCAGACGCGTCTGCCTGCCTGATGACTGGCTATTTTCCATTTTTCGGCTGGTCGCGTTGCTCTGCACATAGGAAGGGATGGACTAGGACTTAAGCCGCACCTGCACTGTTCTGTGGAGCCTCTTCAACGATCTCAACCTTAGTTTCCTCGTCTGTAAAATGGGGGTGATGAAACCTCCCGTGGCTAAAGTGAGAATCACATTTGAGGTCACGGGTGGTGAACATTCCCTCCCCAGAGCCCGTGTTCACACGCAACGGTGCGAGCTGACAGGCACACGTGTGTCGTGTGGACCCCACCACACACGTAGCACGCTCTGAGGGTGCCGTGCGGTGGCCTCTCCTAGCACCGCATCCGAGAGATGTTGGAAGGAGCCACGGTACTGAAAGCCCCCATGGCTTTTCCCGTGGCTCATTGAATTTGACACTGGGGAGCCTGGTGCTGGCAATCATGGCCGTCCTGGCGCACGCGGGCCAGGCAGGTCTGATGTTGCCCAGCGGTGGAGCCGGGCCTTCTCTGATCCAGTGTCACAGGGCCAAGGTCAGTCACACCTGTGCACCGTGGCCTTTGAGCCAGAAGTGGTTCTTTACAGTGGAGATGGGCGTCCGGCAGATCGCGGGGGAGAGTCAGACAGACGTCCGCGTGACTCTGAACAAAACCCGCTTTCCTGAGAAAGGAAACCAGTTGAAAGGCACTGTAGCTGGAGTTGGACATGGGAAGGCGGGGGGTGTGGGGAGCAGCTGCCCCCGGTCCCAGGGTTCTTTGGGGGTCCTCTTGTCCAGCTTTCTCACGCTCGGCTGCATATATCTCAGGCTTGTTTTCACATCCCCTCTTCAGAGCAGGTGTGTGCGGTGTTTCGTCTGTAAAATACTGTGACCCACGGTGGGAATTGGAATAAGCTTCCTGATCACATAAAATTGTTCTTACCAGTAAATAAACTGGGGGTGAGAACTTTCCTCCCCTGAAGCAGGGGGATTGTTTGTTTTTCCTAGTGGTCTGCTTCTGAGTATTGATTTCTGCTTCTGACAAACCAGGGGTAATGTAATAGAAGGACGTGATTCAGAGCCAAGTACCGTTATGTTTACGCCCGCAACATCTTTTGTTCTTTACTCTTGGCAGCGGTAAAACTTCTTCAAGCAGCTGACAGCTTTAAAGACCAGACCTTCTTTCTCAGCCAGGTTTCCCAAGATGCCCTGAGGAGAACCCTCTTCCCTCTGGGGGGGCTAACAAAAGATTTTGTCAAGAAAATAGCTGCTGAAAATAGATTCCATCACGTGCTTCAGAAGAAGGAGGTAGGACCGAGGGGGGTGCGTTCGTGGCACCATGGCCGTGGTCTGCGGGGAAGCGGGGCCCTGTCTGGGCACTTCCTCCCCAGGAGCCAACGTCAGGACAGAGCCCGGCTCACGCACGCGGTAGGACGTGCTGTTGACAGCTGAGAACCGCTCAGATGCGATTTCTCCCTCTGTCCCCTCCTCAGCCCTGCTCTGGGGTGAGCAGCTTTCAGAGGAACCTGGCGAGCTCGTTGGGGTGCTCTTGGCCCAGCCTGCCGGGGGAGGGCGGCCGCGGGAAGGACCGGGCCCCGAGACGCCCCAGCCCGAGCTCTGTCGCTGCTTGCACGCAGATCTGCGGTTTTCACACACTCGTCCAGCCCCTCCTTGTCGAGGGCCTTCCTGTACTGGGTGCTGTGCTGCTGGCCCCTGAGGATAGGGCGAGGAGCGCACAGGTTCCTCATTCCTGCCTTCCTGGAGGTCACAGGAGGGAGAGACAGACACAAAACGTACCGTGGGAAAAAGACGGGTTCCGAGGAGTTAACATTTAATCCACCGTAAGGCCTCAGGATGAATAGGATTTAGTGTCACAAAGAGGGTTTTGGGGAATTGTCCCGGCAGCGGGAAGACGTGTGTGAAGGCCCCGAGGTAGGGAGAGCCTGGGCATTGGGATGACGGTGAAGCCCGCGTGGTGGGGGTCTGGTGCTACAGGACAGCCCCAGCGTGCTCCGTCTGGTCGGGCCACATTAGGGACTGGGTCACCTTCAGCTGAGGCTGCTCCTTCATTTTTGTCTTCCTGGGAATGAGCATGACCTTGCTTTTTTATCAGCAAGTCATTGTCCCCAAGGAAGACATCCTTTCTCGCATCCATCCACCCATCATGTCTGTCCCTCTGATTACCTGTTCGGTTTCTGGGTGTGGCTCTGCGCTGGGAGCTCAGAGACACAACCAGGGCAGGTGAGCGCTCCATATGACAGGAACGGTGGTGGAGCGTGCGTTCCAGCCCGTCTTCTGGGCTAGAGTAGATCACCTTGAGGGAGCCCTCTCCCTCCAACTCTCCTGTGGATGCTTCGGTTCTGGCCCAGCTCCTCTCCTTCCCAGCCCGCGGCTCATTGACGGTGGTCTGAAGGGCCCGCACAGCTCTGGCTCCCTCTCCTGCCGGGGTAGACGTGGGGTGGCCTTGCTTACTCACCAGATCCCAGGTTGGGGGCCTGAAGCAGACCCCTTGAGATGCTCTGAAACCCCTCGAGGTCCGTTGGTGGGGCACGGCTGGTGTCTGTGGGTGCTGGCCAAGGAAAGCCAGGCCTGCGACCCAGGAAAGTAGGGAGGCCCGGGGAGGCCGGGGTGCGCAGCCTCCTGTCCTCCCGGCACTGGCTTGTTCTCGTGTGGACATCTCCTGCCTGTTCACTCTCCTCACTGTCGGCTTTCCTTTTGTTTCAGAGCATGGGCATCTGTTTCGTTGGTAAAAGAAATTTTGAAAATTTCATCCTTCAGGTGAGTGTGTTCTTTGAGGCAAAAGAATGAAGCCACATTTTTGCTCTGGACCTGGATCCATTAGTAAGGAAATGCTTGTTTTTCAGTATTTACAGCCTCGACCTGGTAAATTTATTTCTATAGAAGACAATAAAGTTTTGGGAACACACAAAGGTGAGACACAGCCTCAGGCTGCTTTTCGTCCTAAACTTCCTGAGTCGTGGCGCGAGTTTCAGACAAGAAACCTGTAATTCCTTCCGTGTCCGCGAGTGAGTCTGAGAAGCCTGTGGGCGGGGGTCGCGGGTAGCACGAGCGAGCGTGGTGGCCAGTGTTGTACGTGGTCTCCGTGAAGCCTGGAAGCTCATAAAGAGGGTTGCTCTCCGATTCAGAAAGACTTTGATCTCTGAGTGCTGTGTTCCTGCAAATAAAATTACTCTCTCACTGTAGAAAAAGAAAACATGAGAACACAGAAAGGTTCACCTCATGAAAGAAGCATGACTAATTGATTTCAGCATGGGAGCTTCCAGATCTAGGACGAGGAAGAGACAGGACCAGAGTGTGTCCCCATAGGGCAGGGGTGTGGCACTTGGGGTGCTGCTTGATTGTTCGCAGATATTTGGGGGGGGGCGTACCGTGAACTTGCCCTGGGCTGGTGTGGAGAAGCTGCGACAAATCAGGCCCAAGCATTCACAGCGCAGTGGGGGGACAGATGGTGGGTTGGTGAGTGGTGGGCCTGTGCCCTCGGGGCATCGGAGAAGCCCTTGGGGGCTGGTGACCAGGTAGGTCTTGACCCAGAACGTGCCTGGCCTGCTGGGGGGACAAGGGCTGGTACCCAGGCATGGACAGTCTCACAGATGGTTCTTTGGAACCCCCCAGCCCAGTTTGGGCAGATGGCTTCTCTTTCCTGTTGGGGGAGCTGGACTGGCTGTCCTGCGCTCCTGGGGAGCCAAGCAGAGAAGCCCCAGGCATTCTGAGACGGGAGGAGGGGGCAGCCTTGCTGGGGACAGGTCTGCGGGGTGCTCCCAGCCTGTCTCCAGCAGGATGAGATCCCCTCAGCTTGTCTCCTCTGTGCTATAGGGCTGTTCCTCTGGGATGGGGGCGGGGGGTGCACAGAGAAGTGATGCCACAGCCCCCGTGCGGTTCGTCTGTCAGAGGGGCTCCTGGAGGCTCAACAGGAGGGGGCTTAGGGCTTTGAACGATGCCCCGTCCACGGTCTGCAGGAGTGGTCCCTGCGGCCGATGGTTTAGGTGGCCCGGCAGCTAGCATGGCTCCTGGCAGGGTGCGAGGTGCAGCCTGACCTGGCCCGGACAAGATCAGGGCCGAGGCTCGCAGTGGGAGCACACAGCCCCTCTGGATACCCCTCGGTGGCCTCCCAACTGCTGCCCCCTGCTCCCCATGCTCTGCTCCCCGTTAAGAGGGGGATGATGTTTGAGGTGGAGCTGGTGCCGGTTCCCTGAGAAACCGTTATTTCCATAGGTTGGTTCCTGTATACTTTGGGCCAGAGAGCCAAGATAGGCGGCTTACGGGAGCCCTGGTATGTGGTGGAGAAGGACGGCACCAAGGGCGACGTGTTTGTGGTGAGTCGGGCTGGCCTTTTAGACAGGTGACGGAGGTCTGTTTTTGGCAGAGCCAGCAGTGTCTGTGAGACCAGGCAGGGCTGGTGGAGCCCTACAGAACAGCAGTGATTGATGGACCATCCTTGCCTTCCCTCTGCGTCCTCCTGGGATTGGCCCCCAAGGTACCAGAAGGATTTTGTTGAAGGTACTTATCAGGGTCTTACTGTACGTTGGTCACTCTGGTGATCATGATGTTAACAGCTGTGAATAGATCCTATTTTTCTGATTTTATGCAAGAGGCTGAAGGTCTCTCAGTGCTTAGGACAGGGCTGGCTCATGGCTCCAGCAGGCCATTGCTGAACAGACGGAAGCAGCCAAGCCGGGACCAGAGCCGTTTGTGGGCCAGTGACCTGAACCCCTGTGACCCTGAATCCCATCCTTGGGCTCTTGGAGCAGGGCTTCGCAAAGGGAGTGAGTTGGCCCTGTCCCCCCACCCCCAGCCCCGGGACACTCGGCAGTGTCCCTACATACCTGATGGGTGGAGGCCGGGGGGCTGCTGACATCCTACAGGATAGCTCCCACCCCTGAACAGAACGACCCAGCCTCCCGTCTTAGTCGTACCAAGGTTGAGAGACCCTGCCCTAGGAGAGCTGGGTGCTCGCTCACAAAGCTGGAGGACCCTCTCTTAGACACAGAGTGGCCAGCACACCTCACCTACTGATTCTGGGACATCTCCTTCCAAGAAGAGCCGTGGGCATCACAGCCTGGACAGGGATTGTGGACATGCATGAATTAAAGTGGTTTTTGTGTAAAATTTCAGTGGTGTTTCTTGCCTTGAGAAAAACCAGGAGGGTCATCACCTGACATTTGTCCCCATGTGTGGGTATCCCTGCCTGGGCCTTGGGGACAGGGGCCTCAGAGGCAGATGGCCTCAGCACAGCCCCGGGGAGCCGACACTGTCCCTTCTTTCCCTGGCCACTGGTGTTTGATGGGCTTCCTGCGGTGACCTTTTTGAGATGGGCCAGCAGCGTGGTGGGCCCTGCCTGGGCAGGTGCGGCAGGCAGAGTGCTGGGGACCGTGACAAGACCCTTTCCCTCCTGTGCCTCAGTTTCCTCCTGTGCAGAACGGGGAGCAGAGGCCGTGGGACGGTCCCGTGCGTTTCTGGGGCTGACACCGTAGCTAGCAGCCACCTGCTGTTGGGGTTGCTACTGATGACGCGCAGCCGGGCAGCTTGGGGTGGGGGCCCCTCCGCTGAGGGCTTCCGTGTCCTGACCTGCGCGTCCCGCTCCGCAGGCCCCCCGGACAGACCACCCGGCTCTGTACAGGGACCTGCTGCGGACCAGCCGCGTGCACTGGATCGCAGAAGAGCCGCCCGCCACCCTGGTCCGAGACAAAATGATGGAGTGCCACTTCCGGTTCCGCCACCAGATGGCGCTAGGTGACTGAGCGGGAGGGCCCCTTCAGGGGAGCCTGGTAGGAGGCCAGAGGAGCCAGGGTAGGAGCAGTCATTAGACTTGGGGCAGGAGCGTCCCCCCACTGTTCAGGTTGCAAAACATATTCGGACCCCCCTCTCCGCCTGCCTTCTCTGGGAGCCGGCACTGGGAGGCGCTGAGGCCCGCGTGGCCTTCCTCATCCGCCGTGCAGGGCGCATCCAGGAGGTGCAGGCCTGGCAGCAGTGGAGTGGAGCCCCTCTGCCTGTGGCCCCTGCTGCCTGGTGCTCCTCCCATCCCCCGGGGGGCGAGACCTGGGGCTGGCCGCACGTGGAAAGGCCAGTGCCCCCACCAAGGACCCCTCTCTTTCACCCAGTGCCCTGTGTGCTGACCCTCAATCAAGACGGCACCGTGTGGGTGACGGCTGTGAAGGCTGTGCGGGCCCTGGCCCCGGGACAGGTGAGCGCCCCGTGCTGCAGAGGGAGGCGGGGGAGCCCGGCTGGAAGGTTGGACCAGGCCTCACACCATGTCCGCCTGTGGCCTGGAGCCCAGGCCTCGTGCACGAGATGGGCTTCAGCATGTGCTCAGCTGCCCCTCGCCAGGGCCTGTGTGGCCGAGAAAGAGCTCTAGTCAGTGGGCTTCGTGCTCTGGAAGGATGGACTGCACTTCCTCCCCACCAGAGCACCCAGTTTACGGCGGGGGGCGCCTGAGGTGCAGAGTGGGTGTGGGTGTGCGGCTCACACAGCCAGTGAAGGTGGAAGCTGTGCCCCCCCTGCACCCGGCATGCCCCTCCCAGCCGCACCAGTGATACCTGCTCCTGCTTGATGCTGGGAGGGCCCAGCTGCCCTGTCTGGGCCTGCCCCCCACCCCCACCCCCAGCCCAACAGCTACGGACCCGCACTCCTGGCTGCTGGTGGGCACCTGGCGCCGGGCCCACTGTGGTGACACGGCCTCTTTCCTTTTTAGTTTGCCGTTTTCTACAAAGCGGGTGAGTGTCTGGGCAGCGGGAAAATCCTGCGCTTGGGGCCATCCGCCTACATACTCCAGAAGGGCAAGAGCAAGTCCAGAGTGGCCACCGAGGGCCCCGGCAATGGCCCCAGCGATGGCCCACGGCTGGGCCCCACGTTCTGAAGGAGGCCGAGCGGCTGCCGAGCGCCCAGGAGCAAACACGGAGGAGCAGAGCCTGGGGTGGAGCAGTCGGGGGGAGCTTGGCTGAGTCTGCTGCCCCAGTTCTATCCTGGCTGGCCAGGGTTCCAGCAAGCCTCCCGAGCCTGGGAGAGCCCCAGAAAGGCCTGCCCTGTCTTCTCCACCGTGCTGTGCTCTGACCAGAAGGACTTGCTGCCTAGTGGGTGGGTCCCAAGTGCCCCATTTGTAGAGTTGCTCTTTCGTGCCCCAGGGAAGGCTTCCCACCCGCAAGCACACAGCACACAGGCACACTTCGGAGGAGGCTGCAGGGCCGGCATCCAATAAAACGAGTGTCTGGGACACAGAGTCTGCCGGACTCTCCTGGGGAGGGAGCCGGCCTCCGGTGCACAGCTTGGGCAGAGGGACGCCAGCCCCACTCCCCCGTTCCCGCCATGCCCTCCCTCGCTCACCTGTGTCGGAGAGCGAGTCCCGGCCCGCAGGGGTGCAGTGTGGGTGTGTGAGGGGGTGCGGCCGCGCGGAGGCCATCCCTCCCCCTGCAGAGTGCCCGGTGCCCTGGCTGCGGTCACAGGGAAACCAGGAGGACTGAGGGGCCTTGTCCCAGTCGGGCGGGGCTCGGCAGGTGTGTCCGTTCCCTGCGGGGCAGCTTACACACCACAGCGTTTGTGTCTCACGGCCAAGGAGACCAGAAGTCCGGGCTCTGGGCGCCAGCGCGGTCAGCCGAGGTTCCCCCTGCGGTTCGCTGATGGCCATCTTCTCGCTATGTCCTCAACGGCCAGAGGGGCGAGGGGTCTTTTCTGGGGCCTCACATCGTGCCATCCCCCAGGGTTCCACCCTCACGACCCAAGTGCCTTCCAGAGAGCTCCTGTGTTCACACCATCACATCAGGGATTTAGGGTTTCCCCGTAGGAGTGTTGGGGGGATGCTCAGCCCCCATCATGGTATGTGCGCATGTGTGTATTTTGTGGCGAGAGGGCAGCAGGCCAGGCCAGGAGCTGCTTGGCAGAGGAGAATGCAGAAGGTCAGGGCCAGCTGTGCTGCGTGGGCGGCACCCTGTGTCCCCGCGGCCGTTTTGATCACCGTGGAGTCCCTGAGTGACGCCTCCATGCACTGTAAGGGCTCCGCCAAGCCTTGCCGTGGGCAGTACGCAGAGGCACGGGCTCGGTCTCCTCAGTGCGTGCGGGGCTGGGGCTGGGGGTGGCATCTGGGTCAGACAGGAAATTGGCCTTCCTGGGAAGGCTGTGTCTGCATGCCCCACAGCCTCCAACTCGCCTGCCCTGAAGGTGGGGGCTGGGTGCTGGGGACAGAGCTTGGGCTGCATTCTTTCACTAGCGTCACACCCAGCACGTTGCTAGTGCTTCAAGCCAGGCTTCTGTGGGGGCCAGAAGTGTGGTGCCCTGTCTGCTGTGGATAGAAGGTTCTAGACCAGAGGTAGCCTAGGCCTCCAGGCACAGTGCTGCTGGAGGAGCACCTGGGAAGGTTGTCCCGTGGCCCCCAGCCTTCAAGGCCTCTGATGGTGACAGGGCTAGCCCTAGGTCTGGGTGCCAGGCATCCAGGGCCCCCCCTCCCCACCCCCAGGGGCAGGTCACAGGCCCTAGACCACAAGGGAGGAGCCCAAAGTGGGGTGACGGGCACCATGGCCCCAGAGCACTACAGTGGGAGGAGGACTTTCTTCTGAACAGGAGGGAGGCAGGTGGTTTGGGCAGAAAATCCCTCTGGCCTCTGAGGTACAGGTGGGAGGGAACGGGGGACCACGTGGGCTGTGGGGTTGGGTATGGTGGCAGGCATGGACAAGTGTTAGCCTGTGTAGCGGGTCTGGAGGAGGGGTGGACAACTAAGACCTTTATCCAGATGGGGTCCTGCTGCCCTTGGATCTCCCCCACGCATCAGCATGCAGTGCTCCGAAGAGCAGAGCGGCCACCTCCCACCCATGCAGCCAGGAAGGGAGGCCCGGACCCGTCACCCCACTTGGCACCTGCCTCGGCTCTGGTGTGGTGCTTGCAGCCTGCCAGCGAGACCGGCCTTACTGGCACCCCATCCCTGCCAGCCTGGGGCAGAGGGCATGAGGTGGGCTGGGCCCCACTGCTGGTTTAGTGGGACCCTGTGTGGGGGGTGACAGGCTACACCGTTGGGGGCTTTAAGACCAGGCCGCTGTGTGGGGCTGAGAACTAGGTGCCAGCCCCCCTTTCCAGAGGCAGGATGAACGTGGTCCCCCTCAGTGACGATCAGGATCCCCATCCCTGCTCCTTACACTAGCCCTGGCCTGGGTCTGCCTTCTCCCCACCCAGCAGGAGGCTTCCGGGGCTGGAAGGAGCGGGGAGGGGGCCCGAGCATCCAGGGTCAGGCCTTCTGGTCTGCCACGTGGCAGCTGATGCGGATAAAGAGGCCCTGGGGGTGGCGGGGGGGCTCGGGCCTGCCCTGCCCAGGCTAGGAGGCCGGCCACCGTTCTGCATCACTCTGCACGTTGTGCCAGGTGGTGGAGGCAGGGAGGGACTGGAACCCCGCCCGTGTTCAGCCGGCTCACAGGGCGGCATGGAGCCTCCCGGGCCTCAGGGCTCCCGATTCACCACCCTGGTGGCTGGGCCTCTCATCCTGCTGGGAAGGCCCCCCCAGCGCCCACCCTGCTCCGTGCAAGGCTGACCCTGGGGAATGGCAGCAGGAATGGGGGGAAGGGCAGCCCGGTGGAAGTGTCCGGCACAGGGTGGCGGAGGGGAGGCCGCCGGTCCTGCCAGCCCAGTGCCAGGCCCCCAGCTGGCCCGGCGGCCGCTCGGGTCACCCAGGCTCCACCTGTGGCGGGGCCCATGGCAGCCTTCCAGCCGGCGGCGCCACCCTCCCTCTGGTGGGCACAGCCTGCCCTCCGTGTGCCCCTGGGGCCACGAGCCAACTGCGCGAGGCCACTTTGTGCATTGCGTCAGCTGTCCGCCAGAGGGCCAAGTTCATGAGCTGGGACTCTGGCCCCTCCCACTGCCCTGTGCTGGCGACTCGGGCTTCAGGAGACCCTGGGCAGGCCAGAGGGGCTGGAGCTGAGGAGTAAGACATATGTCCCCGTCCCCGTTGCCAGGCCCCGCCACTGCCCCACGTGCCCAGATCCCGAGGGAAGGGCCCAGGGCTGGTGCCGTACACACGGTGAGAGCTAAAGATCCTGGGAAACCCCAAATGGCCTGCTCGTCCCGACTGCGTCAGCAGGGTGGACACAAAGTTCCAGGACAGTTCCTTTCCCCTGGGCCTGTCCTCTGCCTCCTGTTCAAGGGCCGTCACGGCCGGCTCAGGAGGGGGGGCGGGGGGAACAGTACAGCAGAAGCACAAATTCGAAAATCTTAATTTATTGCAAACTCTTTTCTTGTGTCGTAATTCCAGTGTTCCGAACATTAATAAATAGACATTTGTTTAAAAAAAAACTCCAGTGTCTCATTTCTCATAAAGTCTTAAGTCACAAAAATAGGTTTACAATGTATTTTCCTGTCTTAATAAAACGGACAGTTGTTTTTTGGTAACAATTCTGATCAGATTGAAAACCGCACCCCAAGGGGCAGGACCCAGCTGCAGAAGTGAGGACGCGAAGGTGGGGGCTTCTGACTCGAGGGTATTCAAACTTTTTTACTGAGAAGAGGTCTCGTCAGGGGTAAACATCTGAAGACCCTCTTCTGTCTTCAGAAGGCCACTCACCCACTAAGGCACATTTATAATTCATTCCCGCATGCGGACCCCGGGGTCTCATTTCACTCCCGTGTGAGGTGTGTGGCCTCAGAGCCGCCTCGCAGCTGCTGTTCCCGGGGTGGTCCTAACAGTGCTCACATTTCCATCCGAATATGGCGCGGAAATCTTCACATTTGACTTGATTTTCTTCCTATTTTATGGTTTCTCATACTTGGAAGCAGCTGTGCTAGTCACGTACTTGGGTGCCTGATTTGAAGAACAAAGGCAACACTGGAACGAGACGTGTCTGAGTCATTCTGGGCCCCATGCCACAGCCCCTGGGGCCACGCCGCGCCAACTGCCCACCGCGGGCCAGGCACGGCCGCTCCTCAGTACGAGCTTCCAAAAAACAGCTTGGTAACCACTGAGAAGCGTGGCCGTGGCTTTGTCCCTCTGCACAATTGGCCATTTGAAGCAAAATGAAGTCATTGGTCGGACTCGGGGGGTGGGGCCCCAGCCTGCCTGGGGATCCTCAGAGTCTAAAAGAGCTGGAAAATTTGGCAGGAAGGACTGTGACATCCTGGAAGACCTCACACCTCCGTCTGGATCGGAAAGTTGTGAACACTGTACAATCCCACCGGGAACAGGAGCAGAGGGAACAAAAGACGTCCCCACCTGCGGTACCACACCAGCTGGGCCAGGGGCCAGGGAAGCCCCGCAGGCCGAGCGTGGGCCCGGGGTGGGGGCGGGGCGGCCAGGGAAGGGCCAGTGCTAAGTCACGGTCAGTGCCTCCACCATGGCCGTGGGGCACCTGCATTCTCCACCAGCCTCAGCGGGGCGGGAGCGAGGGGGGCTCCTCAAGTCCTGCCCCGTCCCAGGCTGCCCTGTCTCCGATCCACCACGGTCGGGGCGGCTGGGAGCTGAGGGCACACATCTCAGAAACATGCGCTGGGAATTCAGGCGGCTGCGCATGGTGCCCACACGCTCCCTGCTTCCTGGCCAGGCCCAGCGGCAGGAACCTCTGTTCGAGGACGAACTCGCTCCCCACGCACTTCCCACTCTGATCTGCCGGGACACCAGCTGCATCAATGCACGCCAGGTTCAAGTACAACTGTGCAATCTTCCTTGTGTAAAAAAAAATAGTGAGAGATCATCCCACGGATCTCCCAGTATCAATAGTACAAATGCAAAATATACACAGGCTTTCACCTTCTCAGAGTCCCATACAAATATATATAGAAGTATCTACACCTTTTCAACAAAAGAAAGTAATTTGCTTTAAGACAGGGGATGTTTATGCAAAGGGCCATCAAGGCCACTGGCCAGGGGCCTGTGCTACATGGGGGCACCCG